GCCTCCGGAGAGCAGGGTTTACAATCACTGGGAAGGCTGAAGCAGGAAGCCGCCGCCTTCCAGGCAGCCAGGAGGAGCTCTGCCCTGCAGGCAGACCCTGAGGACCTGTCACAGTCTTATCTGTTCAAGGCCAAAGGTGATTTTCCCTTAACAAAAGCAGCAGAGGTCTCACCCAAAAGCAGTGTTAAGGGTCTAGGCAGAGAGGTAACGCTGTGCCTAGTCAGGACACTCCAGGCTTTTCCACTGCGTGTGGCCAGATTTTCTGCTGAGCAGGAGCTGTACATACGGGAAATGCCACAGGGCTTTTCACTTCGGCTGAGCCTCCTGTCAGCTCCACTCTCCAACTGTTCAAGCTGTAGACAGAGACTCTCAGACAGAGCTCAGCTTCTGCTCTTTTTAGGTGCTGTAAAGGAGGCCAAAACACTTGAACCTCTGGCGTAATAACCTTCCCTGTAGTTATACACTGATGTCAAATCTGATACGATGATGTCAATGAAAGCTGATGAAAAGGAGAAGCTGGGCAGGAAGGAAGGAACCTTAAAATGTTGACACTTATCTTAATGAGAAACTGAACCCAGGAAGAACAGCTAGAGCAGGTGATTTTGTAGAAAGGGGTTCTCTTCAGGCTGCCTTGAGCAGACAGTTCCCTCTTCATCACATCTCTGCAGTGGGAAGGCAATGCAAGGCAATGGCAAATTACAATAATCTAACATGGCTGCAGAACTCACCCAGCCTTTTTAATTTTTGCTTTCTAACCATAATGACTGAACAGCCTGAAGGAGATTTCTTTAGCCTACAACCTTGAATTTAGAGCAACTGTAGCTCATGTAGCACTGATAGAATCCACAGAGCAGATGAATTTGCTTCCCTCTGGCTACATGTTTATTCTAGGTAATTCCACGGGGCAGAGTTTAAAAATGTTCATCTCTTAGAAGCTCATGCTAAAAACCCATTCACTTGCATGGAGACTCAGAAAGCAGGTCACCATTCCCATGGTTATAATTTCAGCACCTCAGACCAGACCCCAGTAGGCAGCCTCTAAGGGACAGACATCCATTATAAATGAATGGAAATGTCTACATTCACTTAATTTAGTTTGTAGTCAGCCAAAAGATGGTAAAATCAAAGCTGTGCTGAGCTGGGACTGTGAAGCTGGTGGGGAGGAACCACTTTTCATTGGAGTCCAAGCCATCAAGCTTTCCTAACACCACAGATGTTGGGGGTGGATGTCAGCACACAGACAAAATGCAAGGCCAAAGAAGTGCCTACAGTGCCTGGTGACACAGTGTAGCAGCTTGGTTGAGAGGAGGCACCTTCTCACACTTCCACAATCAGCAGGAAATGGGGGAACTCAAAGTGCTGTGAACCATCCTGATTGACAAAAGTCCCCTGAGTGGCTTTCAAGGATGAGCCCATCACTATCACTCTGACTTAAACAAGGTCTGTCAAACTCAGTGCTAGATGGCAGCTTTGGCCGCACTGCCATCAATACCTCCGTGTAAATTATCACATAGTCTTCTCCAATTATTTAATGAATTCAGGGGGCAAAGTTGTTCCATTAAGAAAAATGAAATTGCCTCAGAAGTGCATGACTAAGGAGAAACATAAATCTCTCCCAGCAAGAGCATGAACCACTAATGTACTCACTCATCCGGCAGCCAGCAGCCTCCGTTCAGGAGCAGACAGACCTGGGAGTGGTTCTGTCCTTCCTCTCAGGAATCTCCCATCTTTTGGACAAGGAGATGTCCTGACTTGGGGCATCCCTTCTGCAGGGCAGGCTGGTGCAGCCAGAGCAGCATGGCAGCAATCGGACAGCCCCAGCGTGGCTGTGAATCCCAGCCAGTTAGGGAAGAAGAAGATTTCTGTTTAGGCTTTGCATAAGTCTGTTCTTTCCACTAGTAATTAAAGTGACATTTTCCCTGCCATCTGTAGGATTTTTTGAGGATGCAATCAAATGATCTGTCAACAGCCCAAGTTCCAGGAGGAAACACAGCAAAAAGAGGAAACACAGTCTGCTTCCCTGAGAAGAACCTGAAGAAATGAAAAATGCCAACCCTTGCAAAAAGGGGGCTGTTTGCCCTTGGAAGATCTTGTCACATGAATACTTTCGAAGGGAAATAATATCCTCTAATACTAATTCTTTTGAAGAATTAATCCAAACATTTCACATAGGAAATATGACCTTGAATTAATCCTCTATTAACTACAATAGTAAAAAACACATTTTAATGAAATTGATTTCCTTCATGAGGATTTTTTTTAGTGATTGGAAATGGTGTTTTTTTAGTTTACTAGCATTGAAAAAGAACTATTTTCTTTTACATTTATCTCCTTTGTTTGTATGTTTGGGTTTTTTAAATACTTTTTCTTTTAATGTAATAACTGGTTTTTGTAGAGCTCATCTGTTGGAAATCGTTAATACCTCTCAGATTTCAACAACCTGTCAAATCCAAGCACTATCAGAAATATCTATGTAATAATCACGTTTCAGGAAATAATTCAGATAGTACATACACACTTCAGTTGGAAAAGGTTGCTGTTTTAATACCATGCAAATATGCGTCCTTTAGGAGTAAAATAAATAGATGAAAACAGATAGGAGAGGTAAAATAGTGAAAACCCTCTATTAGGAAATGGGAGATGATCCTAAAATCCAGACTGAATCTATGTTTGTTTTATAAGCGTATAGAAGAGGGAAGAAGAAGTATTTTGAAAGCATTTGTATTGTTTTCCAAATAAATTTAGACTTAAGATAATAGATGTTCTCAACTTCAGCTGCTAATCACTTTGAATATCTGAGCACAGAAGCACTACCTGAGTACACATGCTCATCATTTTGGGTCCCAAAATCCCATTACTAAATGCCATACAACAGAGAAAAAAATCCCTACCCTTAAAATATTTCAAAAGCTACGTGATACACATTACAGACTACCCACAGATAAACAGAGACAATGAAGAAACAAGACAGTGCTGATCATCCCAGTGCACTCACACAAGGAGGATGGAGGGCAGGGAAGAAGGAGCTAAAAGCAGATGCACTTACTGATACTGGAAAGTGAAAGTCACGGAAGAAATGTGGGCACAGATACAGAAAAAAAATCAGGAACTCAGCACCAAAACAATCAGAGAAGGAGTCACTGGTTTTATAAGCAGGTAAGGGCAGCAACGTGTGCCAGTAAGGGCTAAGATGGATGCAGCCCTGGAGGCTGAAGTCACAGAAGAGTAATGCTAGAAATGGAGGTAAGAAAAGCAAGAAATGGGAAAAGAAAGTTGAAAGGGAGTAGCTGAAAGATTGACAGACAACAGCAACACACAAGACACAAAGAGATTAATCTCTTTTTTGAGCAGCACTGCACCTGCTGCAGCCAGGATCAGGGGAGGGAAGGAACAGAAGCAAAGCCCAGGTGTTATCTCCAGCCATGGACTTGAGACCAGCCTTGCACTCCATGGAAGCGCAGGATAAGAGAGCTTCTGCAGACAGAGTATCAGGTAAAGGAATCAGGCATTGCTGAGAGAAGAAAATATGCAAAGTTTAGGCATAACTCTCTTTTCCTTTTTTTTTTTAATTTATTCTTTTTTCTTTTAAATGAAAAAGAAGACACTCCTGAGAAAGCAAATAAATGCAAGAACTAAAGATCAACGGTGGAAGAGGGGCGAGCTGAAGATTATCTATAACAATGGCAAAATTGTGTAGAGTTTCCTGGATGAAGAAAGGAGAACCACTTTAACAGTCATCAAACGGATATTTGGCTCAAGACCTTACCATCATTTGCCAATTCAGCAAATACATTTGTCAGGTTTTCATAGAGGAACAAAGACACATTTAACAGCAAAAGTTAAAAACAGAGGAGCAGCAGAGGCACAGATGGGATGGGATTGTTGAAAATCCCCTTTGATCAGTAACCCTAGGGATGAACTTGCAGTATTCCTCATCTATGTCTTGTAAGGGATAACAGTTTAAAATGAAGAAAGGGATCACAAACGCTTTACTACATCCCAAGAGTAGCACCATGGGAGGATGAAAAGAGAATGAGCTAACCCAATTTGCAACTCCTGTTTTCTCTGCTGCAAGTAATGACAAATCACCTACAATTCCAAAAGCAGAAAATCTGAAAGCACCCAATCTGCAAAAGCAAAAAAAAAAACCAAAATCCCCCAAAATACAAACATAAGGTATTGTGGGATAACCAAGCACCCAGACACAATGAGAACCTGTCACTTGTGTCTTATGAACTATTATGACTGGATTAATCTTAGAAAGGGTAAGGATATTATGCTTTAGCTTCAGGCATTTCAAGAAAAGGGAGATTGACATCACTATCAAAGTAAGTTGTTCCAGTGCTCCTCTGTCCATTTATTTTCTTTTCCATGTTGCTCCTTCCTCTGCATAAACTCAGTACAAGCACTCATACAGCTGCATACCTAGATCAGACAAGGAAACTGAGAAAACAGGTTTTCTGTTTGCAGTAGTTGTTGTCTCTCAGCTGGGTTCTCCCTATGGCCACAACTCCCCTGCTGCTCCATGGGATGGAAGTAACCAGCTGGGAGCGAGACCTCTGCCTTCAGTGACAGCGCCAGGTAACATCAGCGACCCTGGAACTTGTTGCCTGAAACAAGTTCCTAACACAGAAACTGTCAGGAGCTCTTGCCATGAGCACAACTCTGCGCAGTGGAATGACACTGCACCAGCTGGGTGCTTGGAAATACGTGATGTGCACCAGGAGGCAGGACCAAGGCAGTTTGTATGTGAGGGCATTTGGCATGACCTCCTCCCCTGCTGCAAAGCTGGAGTTCCACTCTCTAGGTGTGCACTGTCATTATGTTCCCAGGGTCATGGTCACACGTGAAATTATGTACCCCAAAATCTAGATCTTACTACCAAATATTTTCAAATGCAGCTCCAATCGAGAAATCACAAATGTGTGTTGTTAAGTAAAAGCCTGTCCCTCTATAAGTATTTCATGTTTAAACAAAGACACCTTACTAAACAGGAAGAATACATTGAAAGTTCACTTTAATACATGTTTATTGGTGTCCTGCACTTTCAGTGTAGGAGGTTGGAGATGTAATAAAAAAGTTTCAAAATTTATTGATTCCATTTCATTTAAATCACTCTAAACAACCAGTGCTTTAGAGTTCAGTGAATTAACGTTTACTGTCTGTTTACAAGCAAAATTTTAATATTACCTTTTTTTGAGTTCGCTTAGAACTCCTCTTTTAAAATTCTTCAGATACATTCCTCATAGTAAACAATACATTTTAATCTGTGTCACAATCAACATTGATAAGGCCTTCTTAACCATTTTATACCACCTCCACTGTTACTTCATTGCAAAACACAATCTTATTTCATACTATAAATACCCATCCATGCACAAAACACAGGGGCCAGAAGTTACACATTAATATTTCATGTACGCTTCCAAGTCTTCCTTTACCCTCTGCAGGTTTATGGTACACTTAAAAAGATATCTTTAGACTTGGTCTACTTGGTCTTAAAATACAAATATACAATATCCATAAGCATAAAAAAGTAAAGCTAGATGGCCTTACCATTTGTTATGAACTGCTAAAATCTTATACATGTACAATATAGCAACATGCTGATTAATATACATATTAGTTAAATATACCAACCAATCATGGGGATGTGGCCAAGCTTTTTTGTTTTGTTTTCAAAAAGAAATTGTTCATATACAAGTAAAAAGATTTTTAATTTAAACTCATATGGACTACCTGAAGCACACAGACATCTGCAAGCCCTACTGGGATATTCAGGTCAAACTGGGACAAAGCTTGCTGATTCATTTGAAAGGGAACACAACTCCTCACGGGTAATACCCACGGCATGCTGTTCCCAAGAGAATGCAAATTTACCAGCATTCACATTTTCAGGTCTAGAACACTAATTTTTGCATCTTACATAGCAGTTTATATTTTTTATATCTATTCATCAGCCTCCATCAGAAAGAGTTCGGTACCTTGACATTGTCATAGATTTTTCTAAATAAGTAGATATACAGTACAAAGTGTAGATAGTGAAACAAATAAGCACATATATACAGTCTTTGAAAGGCATTTTTGTGACCAGTTTAGCAGTGTTTATAGAAAACATTTAAGATAGTCACATTCTGCTGATACCACTGTATTGCAAACTGTCAAGCCACATTTCTTATATTAAACTTGTACTGCATTGTATATTGTACAACAGAGAACGATCATTCTTCAGGTGTGACACAATGAAAAAAAAAGAAATCACTATACTGAGTAAGGTAACCAGCACGGGGCTTAATTTTCCTGAGGTTTGTAAGAATTTTTAAACAAAAATCACAGTGACCAGGCTAAACTGCAAACATACTGTTAAGTTTTAAATATACAGTTTATACATAAGTTCTGTGCATGGTCGACTCAACTGGGTGTGTTCATGCTGATGTTTCCTTTAAATGACTCGCCACTGCATAATACTTGTATCTTTTCCGCCTGTGGAGATGAGATGGGTGTCTTCACAGAGAAAATCTACATTAGTTACATGACTACTATGTCCACCGTACACATGGCTTGGAGCCTAGAAAACACCACATTAGTGAGAATATAAGCTGTCATCAAAACGTCTCGTTATAACATTCATACAACAGTGAAACCAAGGCATCACATCGTTCTCTTACAGTATTTTATTATTAAATTAACTTTTAAATTTAATTGCTGTCTCAACCAACTTTAAATAAATCCCTCAGATATCTAAAAATTACCACTCTTCCTGTTTTGATATGTTTGAGTTTGGCTTTTTTTGTACATAGGAAAGCAACATTTGATGCACTTGTGCAAATTACAAGAGTAAATTTTTGGGAAATACCTTACCCTAAATTGTGAACATGGATATGAGAAGAGATGTACTTTGCCAAAATCATCCCCTGTTGATAGCAGTTTTCTCCCATGTGATCGACAGACAGCGTTGATATCTGTTCCATCAGAACCTTCAGGCCATACACCTGAAACACAGAGGGACTATTAAAGGGTTTTATAATGGAAATAAAATTGACAGCTTAAGCTTCTGTTGAAATATTAATAAAGGATTACCTGTTTAAAGAAAAAAGAAAGAAACTACAAAAATAATTGCATCTGAGTCAGGATGTGTACTTCAGTACACCAGCAAAAGTCCAGATCCTAATAGGAAATCAAGCACATAAAAAATACTTTATTTCCTCTAGTCAGCAAAGTGTTTTTTACTCTGGAAAAAAAGAATTCTGCTGAAGTACAGTCATGTGCCTGAGCCTGAAAGAATTTTCATATGGTTATGTAGAAAAATAACAGTTACTGCTTTTATTTTCCCTTCTGCTTATGTATGAGCTAACATACTTTCTTCATATTACTGCAGTCTAAAAAACATACTCATGTATGATCCAAAGGGCTTTCTTCATATTACTAAAAGTCTAAAACCTCTGAAACAAGATGTTATATAGTTTAAAATATTTATTAATAGATCTCTAGAAAAGAAACTGAACCTACTTTAAAGTTTTTAAATGCTTTTGTTCTACTCTAAGTACTTCTCTTTCCTCCAAGTACTCTACTCCTTGCTGTTCTTGCACAAAGTGGTGTTCTAAAATTAAACTGCAGGGTCATCAGTGCAAAGACCAAATCTGTGCACCACATCTTTAAGGCCTCTGAATACTTGCCTGCAATAAATTGCAATTGTACTAAAATCCATCCAGTTACTGTATGCAGTACTGTGGGCTTCTTTTTTAAAGATTTTTGTAATTTAGATTTTATCTAATCCCTACTCAACATAAACGATACCAAACTTTGAGAGACCCTTTCAACAGCACTATGAGGAGGTGATTCCATGTCTTTACAAGGAATTACAAATAGTTGTAAATAAAACACAAAGTAATGATTTTTAGACTGTCCTTTCCTGATGTGTGTGGAAACATCTCTTTGCTAGATCAGGGATAGTAAAAAAGAGGCTCAAAGTAACGGCAAGTGCAAAGAAGAAACAACAATAATTGCTACTTGTGGAATTATGAATATGCAGAACAAAGAGACACAGAAAAGCTGTTCTAAATATCTGCCATGACAAAAAGGAGGCTGTATGAATATCAAATGCTAGCTGAAAAGAGGCAGGAGTCTTCCCAAGAGGTCACTGTGACAAGCTGGAGATAACCCCTAAAGGCAATGGTTAAAGAAACAAGATTGCCATTTTGAAATGGAGAAAGGAGGATAGCAGGGTTTTTCTTCAAAACTTTGTGCTCTTTCAAAATTTATCCCAGTGCCTCACTGCCAGTTTTTATGAATATGCAAATTGAATCCCCCTTGCCGAAAAATTAAGTCTTTTTTTTCCCCATGCTCTGCAGACATATAGAGACAATTTCCTTTCTCTCATTTGAGGATTCATGCCATGTCTTTTTTCCTACTCTTCTCTAAAATTCATTCATTACATATCTTCTCTCAGCACAATATTTAAATGAATAATTATTCTTTCTAGTCAGCACATTATCTATTGGTCCAATGTGCAAAAACCAGAAGCAGCTATTGCAGCTGTGACCAAAGCAGATACTGATAAATGGATGACTGTTTAACATTTTGCATGGCATCCTTTTCATTACACATCCCACTAATGCATCTGCCTTTCCCACAACAGCATAATGCTGTTGACTCATGTTCAGTGTGTATGCAAGAGTAATCTGATCTTTCTGTGCAGATCTACTCTCCTGTCTGTTCTCATCTGTTCTGTATTTGTACAACTGTGTTCTGCCATTCTAGTGTGGAACCTCCTATTTGTCTCTATTGAATTGCCTCCTTTTTTCATACCACTCCTCTGTTTCTCAAGGTAACTTGCTAATCCTGCAGCTTTGTGCCACCTACAAACTATACATGCTGGTTTATCATAGGCTATTAATAAATATATTCAAACATAGTATTCAATTTACAGTGTTCTAGTCAGTTTTGAACCCAATCAGCCTGAGCTCTGCTTTGCTTGCAATGTTGTCAGGCTTTGTACAACATCTTGGATTTCTTCTGTTCCTGTCCTTCACCTCAAACACCAATTTTTTTCAAAACTGGGCATGTGCAATGAACAATTGGTTGTGTATCCAGCAACACATGGCTCTTGAAAGAGCATATAGATCATTAAGTATTTTTAAGTCTTTGCTCCTTCACATTTACATTTGTATTACACATTTGTATCACTAAAATATACTCCCTTAAACACACTTCTTTAAATGCAGTTGATTTTCAGTTGAATCATCTCTAAACACTTCCAGGCTGACTAATCTGTTCCCATGCTCCAAGACAGGTGTTCAACAGAACAATGTTCATTTCCCACCCCCCGCACTGGTTACGCTGATCTGTGAGTGCTATGCATAGTTTGTGATTTTTATGTGGCTCTACTAGATTGAGAAAATACTCCTAGTTTCAGTCAGCCAGTATCTACTGAAAAATCAATATACTAGAAGCTTCACATCCTGGATGCTGTGATCCTAGCTTCTGTGTCCAATGGGAAAATCCCAGAAAGCATGTGAAGGCTGTTCTAACTGGCTGCTCTGAGGCCCCAAAGTACTGAACAGTAAGAGTGACTTCCAGTATTAACAGACTGGTTTCCAACTTATAATTTGTGAGCTTCTTCAATTTATTATTCTAGCCACTAACTTTGCACTTTATCCTTCACATATGGGCTCTGAAGGTAGATATATGACCTGCAGATACTGCATTTATGCTTCTCAAGGATTTTAGGACTTTGCCCATTCTCCGTGAGGTCCTGAAAATAAATACTAATGGTGTCAAGATTACATTAACCAGGTATTTTTACAGATACAACAAGGCTGCTCATCTGTTACAAGGCATGGGCAAAACCCCTCTAAGGTGTGACACACCTCTGTTCTCTGACTCTGTGCAGCTAAAGCAGCCCCATATTCGAATGGCACTGTATTTTGCAGGAATCTGAATCAAAAAGTGAGGAATACTCACATAAAGTTTTTAGTCTCTCAGAGTACCTGAACCTGAGATGCAAAGACACTGTAGCTCTGTAACTATGTGTCAGGTGTACTCATACCCCAGAAATATGTTAATAGTTCCATAAGGGCCTCCATCCCTCATATGGAAAATACATTATGCCAATATGCAGCCAATATTCCAGGATTTCCTCCTTTCACCAAATCTGCATGCTGTAGTGACACCTAAGCACTGCTTGTCAGTCAAATGATAGAAAATTTGAATGTGTTTTCCCAGCATACTGCTACTGCCATACCATCTTTAGGTTCCGAAAATATGTCATTTCTGGCTGTCTTCAAGCACATCACTGCAACTATTCTACTTGAAACACAGGTGCAAATCTTCCTTGATTACGACTTATACTAAAACAGACTTTTCTCTCAACTTTTACCATGGCTTCCTATTTTCTCTTGAGGACTCAAGAATTTGAAGTTTCTCATACTCAGCTTTTGTAACAATCTATCCAGTTCTGCACACATTGTGGAATGAGCACAAAGCTTCAGACTACACTGGGGAAAGTGGATCCTTCAAAACCGGCAGAAGTCGGTTGAAGTCTGATGAAAACAAGCCACACTGATTTTGTTATGTTTTCCTTCTTGAATTCCTTTCACCTGATTTAATTGCTACAGATTCTATCAAAATATGTGATAAATTCTTAATGAGGGAGATTGTCATTCATTTTGTGTTTGCACAGTAACCAAAGCAAATGAAACCATTTCTGGTAAGGGGATTTGACTCAGTAACTGCTTAAATCCATGACAATTCCATAGAACCAGTACTTTAAATTAAAAATGACAAGAAGATGCTCTAGTGTGACAGAAAGGGCAGCGTGTGATTTCTTCCTTGTCTCCCACCAATGTTGTAATTTAATATTTGTACTTGAAGCTAGCAAGAATATCAAACCAGCATCTTTCTGGATTGAAATAAGAAGACAGATTGTAATAAAAATGGCATGACAGAAGTTCTCTATTTTTCCCTGAATTATGAATAGTCATGTTTCATAAGCAAAAGTTGGCAATCCAAGTGTTCGTTAATAAGAAGAATGGTAAGAGCTTGTAAGAGGCTTACAATACTTACCAAAAACATGGAATCCTAAAGTACAGGTGTAAGTGGCCCATTCTATATCTCTAGTTGTTTCAACACTCACAACCTGTTTACAAGCAGAGGGGATCCCTACAAAAGAAAAAAACCCACATGATTTTTCATTCTCAAATTGTATAGATTTTTGATTGCACCAGATGAATTAAAACATATGGTCGATCTTGGCAGTTATATGGTCTCATTTAAATTTTAAATCTGTGTTAGACTGCCTGAACTTTGCACAAAAGGACTAAATATAATTCTTACTCACAGTATAAGATTTCATAGTCTCCTGAATTAGACACAAGATATTGTGAATTAACAGACCAATCCAGATGAGTAATGAAGCTGGAATGACCCTACAAAGAGAAACAATATTGTATTAGCTGCAGTAACAGTATGTCTCAAAGTGACAGTATTAATATAGTGCTACAAAACACACTTAAGGTGTTAATACTGAACCATGAGAAAAAGGTTACTTACTGAACATTTGCCAATTCTAGTGTACTTTCTTCCATTTTCACTTACACCATATATATAAATAGAGTTGTCATGGGAACCTATTGCCAAGAAGTTTCCATCTATAAATACAAAAGTGAACTGCAATTATTCCTGTAAGAAAGAACCCAGGCTAATTTTGAAAAGTTTGTATGTCACAGAAAGAGGAACTGTTCTTAAAGGCCTTGATACTGAAAAATGAAAAAAATGGAATTCTATTTTTTCTTTTTCAGTTGCATATTGATACATCTTTCAAGACTACAAATCAGCAAGTTTGTGCAGCAAATATTACTGCTAAAACCCCATGACACCTCTGGAGGCAGCTACAGTCCGTTTAGGAATAACCTTAATGATTATCCATTGCAACAATGGATTGCAACAACCTGAGGAGTTAAATCTTTTCTTTTCTTTTTTCCCACAGAGAAACCATATTGACCATGTCAGGCAGGGAAGGAGGGAAAAGAAAACTAAAGCTTATGACACCAACCATCCAGTGTTGCCAATGTTTCATGGCATATTAATTTTCAACTTCAGTATGGCAAGCAGGGAATTATTTTAAAACAAACCAGCCCCTAATTTAATGTAATAAAAAAAATCAACGCCTTTTTTTTTTAACCAGTAAATAAATGCTCTCAAACCTGGTGAGTAACGCATTACAGACAGCTGTTCGTTTCCATCTGTGTGTACAGTGACCAAATCTTTTGTTTCTGTGTCAAACACAAACCACCTGTTGTAAATACAGAAAGAGGCCAATAAATCATTCCATAAGGAATTTAAATCTACTGTAATCTTGACCAACTTTTCTTCTGTCAAAATAGCATAAGTTTTACACCAAGAAAAGAAAAACAGCAACTGCTACTCAGTTTGGTCTATTTTTAATTTAACACAAGTTTCCTTTCTATCTTTTTTAACCAAAAAAAGAAAATGATCAGGCACTGACCTGATCACCCTTCAGATTTTAGTGTGTTTTATTGTGTGTCATGCATTAGAATAAAGTAAGCATTGCTTATAATGACTCTTTTCTTTTAATGACCCTCCTCCATGCTATGCTGATGTTTAAATGGATGCCTATATTAAATCCTAGAGCAGAAGAAAACACAAGCAAGAATTAGGACCATTCTCTTCCGATAGATGAATTATATTTATTTATTAATTTATTTTAAAGTGAAATGTTAATTATTTTTTGTTAATTTAATTTTAATTTAAAAAATTAATTCGTGGAAACGTGTAGAAAGGACAAAGATAAAATCTGTATTTCAATACTTGCATCAGATTACTAAAGAAAAAGAAAATATTTCTCTGAAAGCTTCTCCTTTTGATTTACTTTTTTTGGTAAATAAAGTAAATTCAGTAACAAAAGTAAATCCTTTATTTAGGATTGATATACAATCTGAAATAATCTTGGCTCATAACCTACAAGCTTCCTGTACATTCTCAGTTAAGTGGAACTGTTTCCAATACTAACAGCCAAGTCTGCCCTCAAGTGACACTACAGGAGAGGATCAAGTTAGGCAAAGGCACTCCCTCCTATGACAGACAACCATGCAAACCCAGCGTCTGTCACTGACCCACTGCATAACCAAGGGCTCAACCTGCCATGTAAAATGGAGATACTAAACTTTGCCTCTGTTTTCTCTGCTTGTTTACACCTCACACTCATCAGGCAGAACAAGTGTCTCAATTTGCATTTTTACACCATGTCTTTACATCAGTGGAACATTCACCAAATTTTTGTTAAAGCCTCTGGTTGCCACTGCATTAAGGATCATGAACCATTTGCTACATTTTCCAGCACACTAAATTTTTCAATGTGATTTCATCCAAGCTGCCCTGAAGGCCTCAGAGAAAATCTCTATCCACACCTGCAAAGTTAAGTCACAATCTCAGATTCCTCTTTCAGCCTCTCCTGTGCCCTGATGGACAGAATGATTTAACATTTAGGTCACTGGTATGGTGACAGTACCTCCACACATGGTCCCTCTGGCAATCTAGACTTCCTGCCCTCTCCAAATCTACCTCCTCCCACTGACCTTAGATTGTCACCCTCTCAGGGCAGAAAACATCTCTTTGTTTATGCAACAAACACCAAATACAGGGTTTGTAGGCACTAAGGCAATATAAATAAATTTCACTCTGAAATTCAATAGAAATCAACAGGGAATGAAGATATGTCATGCATACATTTGCATAAGAAGAATGTGAACTTGGACATGAGCTGGAAAAATCAGCGTTTGTTGGTGCTCAAAGTGTAGCTCTGCACATCTTACCTTCCAGTCAGCGTCCCTACTGCAACGACAGATGCTGAAGGATGAAAACCTGAAGACTGTGCTGGATCCTAAAATGTTTCAGAAAGAAGGATACTTTTTTACCAGTCCAAGTTATCAAGTTATAACAAAAACACAATTCAATTATCTGCCTCAGAAACAATCTCTTGTTGATATTCTGGGGTTGGTTTTTCTCTTTCTTTCAATATAAATTTGAGGGAGAAAAAAGCATTTTTAACTAATTGAAATATTATCCAATAAACTTTTTTCCCCTCTATACAAGACCACTTTTTTCTTTTCTTCCCCTCTATACAAGGCCACTTTTTTCTTTTCTTCACTGTCTAAAAATAACTTGGCAAGTGATTTCATAACAATAACATCAGCAATGGCAGCTTCCCAACAAATCAAAAACAAGTAAGAGATAAAAATAACTTAAACTAGAGCTGACCTAAGAATTAAGTATCAAAGCCGTAGTTTACCTACAGTCTAAAAGGACAAGCAAGCACCTTGTTCAACAAAGGTACGTGGCATTTTGCATGGAGGGATAAAGCATAACTTCTATGCACAACAGCACCTTTCTCCAGCACCTGCCAAGTTGCAGCTTAGTGGAAGATTAAGGGCACAAACTTGGTTTCTTATTTTGATATGCAATTTCAAAACATTTACTTTGTTTAGTGCATTATTGTGAAGAGAGTTAGAATTACAGTGTTTTTATTGCAATTTAAACATATGCCTAAAAGCCAAGGTAAGCATTCTCTTTCTAATACTTGTTCAGCTAAGAAGGAGCTCCAGAACTTTTCAGATTATAGCAGAAAATACCAAAATAACTTATTTTTTTCTGATACCATTAAAAAGTAATTTTAAAATGTAAGCAAAAAAACCCAATCTAGTGACAAATCTCACAGAAATACTTATAGGCTTGATTTTCTGTATTTTAAAAGAGTATCACATCGTAGCTATTTTAGAAAACTTGTTGACATTTTTAGTAATTGGTAATTACTATCCCTAGAGGCAAGATGTAAAGGATATTCTCATTAATTTTAATCAAGTGACTAATTAAAAAGACTTTATTAACTCTGAAGAAATTTCAGATAAATTTTGAGATCTGGGATTTCTATTCGTGTGTTCTAAAACATTGGAGTATTCCAGATAGGACAATTTTCAAATTATATTTTCAAAGTATAATTTCATAGTAAATGATAAAATACTCTATTGAATAAATCAGAGGTTCAAACAGTGAATTTAATCTGAGCAGTAACTTGTACTCACAGCTACATTACAAAGCTTTTACATAGACCTCTTGACAAAAACAGGTTAACAAGAAATATTTATTTTTTCTAGATAACCTAGATCACTGATCTATGAAACAGTCTGTGACATTTCAAAGAGCTAATAAGGAGATTGTTGTAAAAACTGACAACAGAAATCTTGTCTTAATGAAGTGGTGTGTACTTGGAGGGGAAAAGAAATAAACCTATCTCTTGTTTAATACTCCCATTGCTGTTGCCATCAACCTTTTCAAAATAATCAAAGTAAACAAAGCCCTTTCTTAAACGTTTCAATAACATCAGTTTCTTAAGGAGTCTTATACTTGCAAAACTGCAGCTAAATATTAATTGAATCTCACTCACTGTAAGTCATAATCAGCTAAATTCCTGTTCTGTTTTTCAGAGGAAAATTATGTTCTTTTTTGAGTTGATGATTGCTTAAGTAACTTTATTTCAGAGGTAGCAGCTCATCTGATTAATAGATTTGCTCCTGACCCCCATATTGTACTTATCTCCACTAATGATGTTTCACTATCCTCCCACACTTCTAAATGCTCTTGTCTTTAGACTGCAAGAGAGCAAAGTGCCAAATTTTGCACTTGTCTTCGTGACTATAGGCCCTCCTCAGTATATCCTTCCTGTAATGAGAAACATATTAGAAGTACTAACTTATTCTTTCAGTATTTTTGAAAGTGTATGCAAATATACAAAAATACACACCCTTACACTAAGCACAGGATCACACTAGTACCTTCAATTAAATTACGTGATGACTTTTTCCAACGAAAAAGAAATGCATTAGAAAAGCATAAAAAATTGTACCTATGATTTTACCCTCCATTTCAGGTTATTTATAAATCAGACTTGCACAAAACCAGTTGTGCACCATTTCTAAATAACCTGATGAATCTCAAAAAAAATTAAACAAACAACTATCCTGAAGATCGGAAAGGTTTACATAAAAGTTATCACTTGTGTCATTGTTAGTCACTCTGAATTGCATGTGAAGGATTTCTGCAATGTAGCGTGTTCATCCTCCATACCGTACAAATACGTACACTGCTACTGCTGCATTTCAAAACAAAAAAACCCCACAGATTTATCTTTTCTTAGAGAGACTACCAAGATAGATGCAGGGAAATTTGGTTTATAACTTGCTCACTTATTTTTAAAAAATATATTTTATTGTTGAAATCTGTAGCCTAAGCATGCTGCTATTTATTTGATTTGTCATCTTGGTGACAGTTCAAGAGATTTACAAGCACATTCAGATTTTGGTGCATCTCAAGGTTTGACCATTCCACTGAGGCTCACCTATCTAGAGCATCTTGAAAGACTGCAGGGGAGATAACTTATTTTTAAATCCAAATCATATTAACATATCCTAAACTCTAAAATTACTAGGAAATAGGAAAATGCAATTATGTGCCTGCTTCGCAGGCCACATAGTTAGCAAGATTGATTTTTTTTTTTTTTAATTAAAAGAAATACTCATATTTTCCTTTATTTTAATTTCTGAGACTAGTGGCCAATCTATCTTTATAATTGAGACACTGAACTGTGAAAATATGGCTCCATCTCTGGGGCAGTGAAACTGTTGTTTTGTTCTCTACAATTAATTTAGAAGTCAAGAAAAATATGGGCCTTGGAACATATGACCTTGGTTACACAGAATAAATTCCAACTTCCACATTCACCAGGCAAGTATGATTTAACAAGTGCATACAACTGGAGCAGGATGCCGTGAGGGACAACTTGGCAAAAGCAATTCTGTTAAGAGTTCAATCTGATGCAAGAATGTATACTTATTGCAGATGTGTTGTATTCAAGAAGTCTTATCAATACTAGCTTTAAGTTAAAGTGTTATGTAGGCCTGAAAACGAAAAGCCTTTTTATAAAAAAAAGTTGTAAAATGAAGTTTTTCAAAGCTTCATGTAAACTAATAATGGATTATTTACTAAAATAATGGCCAGTCTTCGCGAGCGAAGATCCGGGGAAGGTCTTTACACCTTCCAGCCTGCGCATTGGATTTTTTAGGTGAGACACAGTGTGCGCGGAACTGAGCCCACCCTTTAATCCTAAGGTTCATCTGCCGGGGCCAAGCGAGCTTGGACGGTGGCAGCGAGGTCCTTAGGACGTAGGTGGGTTGCCTTTAAGGGCTAACGAGCCCCACCTGCCCGGGAGTGGCCCTGACCGGGAATCGAACCCGGGTCTCCGCGGTGATAGCGCGGCGCCTTTACCACTAGACCACCAGGGGCTCCGGATTATTTACTATACGACAAAGAAAAGGCTTTAGTCAGCAATATGAGGATTGTCTCTAAGTTACTGGCTACAATTTGATTTTCAAACCTGGGTATTTGGTACATATCTACACCAGGTGCTGTTTTCTTTTCCTTGTAGTAACTTTTGAACTTTTCCACTGTACAGAGGGCAGATAAAAAGATTCAGAAATAACTTGGTTATTATGATCAGTACATGTACCTCCAAAAAACCATGCTCAAACATCTATTAAGAAAATGTAAAGAGAAGAATGTTTGAAAGAAGGCGATAGTAGCATCTCAGAGAGATAAAAGCACTGTCTCTAGAAGATAAGCCAACGCCTTCTTATGGATAAACAATTAGAAGACTGATCAGGTGTCCAAAAAACGTACTCTAAAAATCAGGTCCTGGTGATGTATATATTAAGCAAGATCACTTGTCACCACAAAGTCATCAGGAGTTTGCAGATGCAGAGAGTGCCTAAGTACAGTTCAAAACTGAGCCTTCACTCAGTATTCCTGCAGGACCTAAACACCAAGTTTCACCCCAGAGATAGAAAGGGAAATTCTAAACATTTGTTTATTTGTGAACCAGATGTATAAAAATGCTAATAAACTGCAGGAAATAAAGATATCCCCAAAACATTCTTTTCCTTCTTTATTCTGACTATCATGCTCAGGATAGGGGTAGTAGTACTAATCCTGATCAGAATTACTTTTAAATGATAAATATTGCCTAGATTTATATTTGTGGCTCTCTTCCTAGTAAAAAAAAGTATAAATGTCAACAGCACTGTACACTTTTATATTATATAGCACATAGATCCATATAGCCTAGGGTTTTAAATTCTTGTTTTTAAGAGTTTTACATCCATTTTCAAAAAGAAGATAGTTTTAATCAATAATGTCAAGAAAAACCAAAATTACTATATTACATATAGAGAAAAATTACAGAATTTCTGTAACAGGAGAGCTGTGTTCAACAAATTTATACCTCTATAATCTTGTCCCAAATAGGATGATGGGTGGTAGCATCCCAGAGAGTAATGTGTTTGTCATGTCCACATGTAAAGAACTGAGGTTTAGAGGAATGGACTGCAAGTCCCCAGAGCTCATCAGTGTGACCCTAGACAAGCAGAAATATTTCTTGACAAGAAGGACAGATCATCAAAATTAAACATGTTCAAACAGTATTAAAATGACCAAACTATATATTAAAGCATTCAAAGAAAAGTTAGTTCTAGATAGATACATATTTACAACATTGTTTATTGCCAAAGGCACTGTAATAATAAATCAAACAGATGCATATTTATGGAACTTAACTTTAAGCAATATCTTTACTGCTATTACACACCTAGAAATGTTCTTGTAAGGCAACCCAGCTTACCTGGGTAATTGGGAAAAAATCTCCTGATAGTGTCCCCTGTAGGACAAAGTTTCTAGTGGTTCCTATTAATACAACGTCCCCTTTTCCCTCTGCTACTGTTCTTATTGGACCAAACTGCTCTGGAATCTGTGGTCATAACAGACAAAGGGATAGGTAAGTCAGACAATCTGTCAAGTGTTGCTATTTTTAAAGACACGTGGCCTAGCAAATGCGTTTTAATAAATGTTGCACAGAGAAGGAATTAAATAGATTAATATGTGTGCCTGATTTGCAAAACTTTAAAACAACTTGCATCAGCTCGGTAACTGTTTTTATAACACTACAAGACAAGACATCCTTGTCTACAGAACACTCCATTTGTACAAATAAACCAAGTATTTCAACAAACAGAAAAGGTTCCTTCATGCTGTGTTAACTTAATCATATTTATTTGCAGCTCTGATATCAGACTAAGCATTTCTACTCAGAGCACTTTCTTGTAATGAATTTTATTTTAAGTGCAGCCTGGCTTCTGAAAGACTCAGCACAAATCTCCAATATTTCAAGGTAAGGCGTAAAATAACAAGGGATACCAGAGTATGAACAAATAAGAGAAAAAGAAGGACACAACAGTTAGAAACAGCACAACAAGCACATCTTGTGCTGTGTTAAAAAAATTAATTACAAAAGCTCACAAGCCACTCCAGTTGCATATTTAATATTTGCAACATTCAATATTATGTAGTAGAGCTGAAACCTTTCCTCAGTTTTATGCTGATTCCTCTCTTACACTCAGTACGTAAACAGTCATGTAGTTCTCTCCAAACAAATTCTGCTTTTAAGTTCCTACACAGTAACTGGATTAAGTTTCAAATTTTTTAAATTATATACAAAAAACAACAACATCAACCAAGAAATGAATGAAAAACTTTGAGTAGTAAAACCCCCCCAAAAAATCATCATATCATTTTGGGAAAGAGGAAAGCACAAAAACATTCTAATACTGTAATACTCTGAAGTTAAAAATTACTTCAAATTATTAATTGCAAAGAAAGGAAGAAATAATATGAAAAGATATGAATACACGATTCATTTTCCAGTTACAACAGAACTTTAAAAAGAAATATTATGTTAATGAATAGGCAATCACAAGAATTAGCCAATGGTTCAAATGATATTACATTTTACCACTGGTTTGCATTCCCTCATAATATATATCCATAAGAAAAAAAAATTGATTAAAAAAGCTGTGTTTAGAAGACAGCTAGAATTTCATTTTGAGCAGCAGAGTAATTTCAAGGGAGGTGACATCACCTCAGTTTTGTGAATTTTTTGGTAATTTCCATTCCAAGATATCAGCTTTCGGTCTTTTCCACCTCCTGATACCAACGTGCCATCTCGCAGCATACACAGCGCAAATATTCCACCTTCATGTGCCCCTTGAACTGCGTGGCTTATTCTGTTGGTACCTGGGTAGAAGGAGAAAAGACATTTACTACTGAAATACTTGGCTTAATAGCTCCTTTTCCCCCAGGTTTTTTGCTCTATTTCTCTACTGCCTTTCAAGAATTATATCTAAGCAATGGTGAAAGTGTTGGACCAAAACACAGAAACCCACAGAAGCAGCTGAATTAGTACATCTTAAGATGCATTCCCCCATCTCTAAAATTGAAAGGATACATACTTACTCAGTCTAGCTCAAAGACAAAGGAAAATAGGTTCATTTAAACCTTTCATGGGGATTTAAGCCAAATTATTTGAATCACATTTGACCTGCAATAGCACTACGTACCTTATCAACCAAGAAATCATAATCTAATCACTTGTCATCCTCCAAGGACATTCCACAGTCTCCAGATACCGAACTTGAACCAAAAACTAACTAAGATGCAGATCCTTGTACATCTGGCAGAATGTTCTGAATCACCCTCCAAAAGACCTTGTCCTTCTTTATTGGTGAACTTGGCTTGTTCAAGTACCTTCTTAGACTCAAAACAGCCTCAAACCCAACTATATTAGATTAGGCACCTCTAATTTGATAAAACATTACTATTACGAAGTACAAGGAAATGATTATTACTATTACTAGTGCTATTACTGAAATGTGCACCTTGCATCAAAGCTTGGCTAACTTGATGTATAGCACAAGTGAGGGGCTGATATAAGTTAGGATGAAACAACTGCCTTTTCCTTTATGAATCCCATTTGCTTTCACCCACATCTGTGGATATAATGCGTCAGGTACAATTGATGTCTAGGAGAAGTTTTTGCTAAGGGTACTCTGATTTGGTGGAAACAGCTCTCACTTGAACATAGAGCTCCAAGTCAAAAGTAATGAAGACGTAGAAAGTACACTCTACTAGGAGAGAAAAACAAGAACAACATTTTTGCCCAACCCAAAAGAGCTGGCAGAAGGTGAGGAGAACCTGAGCAGACTGGGAGTTCCCTTTCGTTCCTGGGAGAAAGGGCAGAAGAGGCTCCTTGCAGTCTACCGGCATGACAGCAAACTGTCACCTGAGTGGTGCAATGACCCTGCCATGCCAGCAGCTGCCACTATCTCCTTTGTCTCTTGGCAGTCCAAAATAACAACAAAGAACAGGGTGATGGGACTATGCAACTTCTAAAATGAAGGAAAAGTGTTTTGTGTCTTGCTTTAAATTACCATAGGAAAAGGAAAGGGAAATAAAAGAGGAACTGACTTACAAACACCATATCCGCCCCTTTCCTCAACAGCAGTGTAATGGTCAAAAGCACAAAGAGATAATTGGTTGAAAGTCCTTGGATGAAAAGAAAGTCTGCAAAAACAGCTCAGTAAGGCTCAACTGTGTAACTGATTCACTGGGTTGTTTTCTGGGTCTTATACCCTTCAAATACCTTGGGAGAAAGTACTGAGTAAATAAGAAGAAGCTGCCATCCATCCCTTCTTCCTTTACTAATAAAGCCTCCTTCAAGGGATTCTCATTATTCCTAGGCATGGCATATCATACACTAAGCAAACGTTTAGGATGTTGCTGCTGTTTGCCCTCTGGCAGGCACTGCCTTCCGCTACTTAAAAAAAGTCTCTCCTTACTAGAAAGTGTTTTTTTAAGAAGTTCTTGCTATCCATCTGTTCCGTTGAAATAAAGCTCAGGAATACAATTAGATCTGAATATATTTTATCTTGACTTCCTAGGAAAACAAATAAAGCTATTTATTGTCTTTTTAAAAGTGTATGTCAATAGGAATAATTTCTGCCAACAGTAGAGTGACATTATAGGAGACTGGAGATCATCAGTTAGATTAACAATGTTTCTTTCTATGACATTCATTAAGGAAAAGAACTTTCCCTGGTATTTCTTACATCAGCAAAATGCTGGCACAGCTCTGTGATTCATTACTTGACCACAGGGAACATATTCTATAGAATTTTGTGCTCTAGTAGTTAGGCATTGATGTTCTTTAGGTTCTTGTAGAAAAGAATCCAGGCACAAGCTGCTGGATTAGTCTTGGGAAAGAACTCAAGATAAAACAAAATTTATTCTTCTTAAAATGAACTTCTACACTCCTGTAAAATTTCACAGCGTTTAATATTAAGATTGAAGTTAATAGTGAAATTTTATCTTACCTTTCCCCCATACCAAAATGTTTCCACTTGAGTCTCCTGTAATAGTATCACCATTTTCAGAAAAGGTCACACACAGGACAAACTTTGGCTTCTCTTGTTTCTGCATGGTTATGAAAAATATACACTCACAGCAATACACAACCCATTCATTTTAACTGTATGCATTTGAGTAATTTAGTTTAGTCTTATACAGCTCTATTATTACTTGAATATCTACACAGGAGTTAAACACATTCCTATGGTCTACACAGTTAATCTCTGCAAGGGCAAAAATGCAACAGTGAAGGTTGGTGGCCCAATCATGCACTCTTTAATTGCAAGCTGGGGACAGAGTGAGAAGGCCTGTCAACATTTAACACAAGACCAGGAATGCTCCAAGATAAACTAAATCCCCCAACTAGCACATAATCCCAAATACTTTAAGTATTTAGAAATGGACAAAGATGCAAACAAGCTTTATTATTATAATTTTTAACTCCAAAGTTTCTATCACTAGAGAGTTTGGTTGCAGTGTAAGAATTATGGACTCATCTCTTGAAAGAGTCCCAACGTTCAGTAATGGAAATGTTGCTTTGAGACCCAGCATTCAAGATATTGACAGCAACATTTCCTTTGTATAAGGAAACAAAAAACTCAGTAGTAGCATCTAAGGATATTATTTGCATTCCTTGTTGGCAACCTGTGTGTATGACCTCTTTCTGCCTCAAACTAAGAACTATTCTCAACTAGGGCCACCACACTTCCCCATCTGCAACAACCATCAAGAGTAACAGAGCCAGAACAGAGGGACAAATTTGCCCAAGCAGCTTAGCAGTTAAAAATGCATGGAAAAATAAAATGGAATAGAATTTAAATGCATTATCTCAGCAACTCCTCCTGATTTCACACGAAGTATATTAACTGAGACTGCAAAATAGTTGTTTTGGCTACATTTGTGAGCCATGACTCCACAAGCAGCTACCTAGGCCCTACTGGACTTATCTGCAGTCACCATAAACATCCCTCAGTTGTACATGCAGCTGTTGTAAAGCATAGTCTATATTTAAGAACAAAACCATATCAAATCTTGAAATAAAAATTATATTTACCAAATAGTGGCCAGCTCAACCTGTATTTGAATTAGATATGTGTATGTATTTGAGCAGAACAGAGGAAAAGGGAAGAAGACTCATGTATGCATTTTATGGGGTTTCTGCAAATCTTTTGTCTAACAAAATAACAAAAACAACCCTCCAGAATATATCACTCTCTCTGGTTTTGTTTATTTTGTTGGTTTGGGTTTTGTTTGGTTGTTTTTTGTTTTGTTTTTGGTTTTTGTTGTTCCTGTTGTTTTTTTTTCTTTTGGCTTTTTAACCTGAGGTAATCACAGAGATTTTAAGGAAATTTTATTTTTGTGGGCAGAGGGGGTATGGTGGGAGCATGGAGGTGTGTACTATAAAGAATGTAGGAAAAAGAATAACAGCATGGTAATTTCATATGAACACTTAAATGTGGAAGTTTTACCATAACATGAATGCCACCCTAAGCTTCTGCAAAATTTCAAGTTTAATAATGATTAGTTGTTTTGATTTACTCAAACCTTACTAATGCTTAATTCTGTATGACTGTACCATTACTATAAACATAAAATTAGGGAAATGTTTTGTTTTACCTCAAATAATCCTTGCTTTTTAATAAGGGAATTCCCTTCTAGTGTCCAGAAATAAAGGTGTGATTTTCCACAAGTAACTATTATATTTGTATCAGTAGGGTGAAAATCTGCAGCAAATACAGCCTCATTAGAGCACTTGGAAGGAAAAAGAAAAACATTGTATCAAAATCTAAAATTAAAAGAAAACAAAACAGTATTACAGGTTCTCTAGCTAGATAAACTGATACTTCTGATTTAAGAAAAATTCTGAGCCATTAATTTACTGACATAGTCTGGAATGCTTTGGTAGAACATTTTGAAGTCAGAAGATTTCATGACTTTATAAGCTAGTACCCAAATTTGTCCTTCAAAACCATGTCAGATAACGAGAAGCTCTACACAAAAGATTAGCTTAAGGCATTTTGTTTCTGCACTTATTATTACATTCTATGCTGTTATTATTGCTACCTAGAATTTTCTAATCAAATTTAGAATTACAACAATAGCAAAATTAAAGCAAGACAAACTACTGGGATAGTCACAACAGAGAGAAAATATTCCCTTTCTTCATTTTCTTTGCCTTTTATAAAGCAAAAGCATTAAAAAGGCACAAAAAGTTAAATACAGAAAGACATTTTATGACAAGAAATCCAGATCTACATACAAGTAGTACAAAATATCTTATTGCAACACCTTGACATCTGCCAGCTTTTCTTCTTTCTGCCAGTCCCACACGGAAAGTACATGGTCATTTGAGTCATCCACAGAGCACAGGCTACTTCCTCCATTCTGAAGCAAAACATGGAAAATATTAATGCAGCACCCAACCAACATGAGTAACATACAAATGCACATTCAAAATCAATGCTTCTGTGTAAGTGGAAATATTCATAAATTGTAATGATTTATAGAGTAATTGAAAAACAGGGTTAAAAAGGGATCTAGAAAAGGGACTCTTGCAAACTGCAGACAAACAGCAGGAATGAGATCTTTACAAACATTTAGTGGTGGAAATTCCAAAGGCAAGCTACACACTATTATCTACTTTATTAAGGATGTTTTTCCTGATAATCATACTGAGTTTCTTTCTTTGCAATTTAAAACAATTATTTCTTTCAGATCTATATAGACACAGGGAAAAATTTACTCTTCATATTGGTAAAATGGATCAAAATCAGGGAATGTAGAAAGATGCTAGAAAACAACTTATTTCTGACAGGTGTCTTTTTTATAGTTATGCCTTCCAACACTTCTTCTAAATTAATTACCCTAATTCCTTCAGTCTTTCATCATGCATCATATTTCCTAGACCTTCACCTGTTGGTACCTGTTTTTCTGATGTGTGAATCCAGAAGCTGGATGAAGAACTCCAACCAAGATCCTGCCTGAATTAGGGGCTGACCTATATGTGTCTCAGTAGTGATGGGAACTGCTGTATAATCATCAGATTTTTTTTTCAGTACCTATCTGGGAGGAACTTTTTGGACCATTTTTCACAATTTCTTTGGTGTTCCTTCCTAGCTGAGTGTACAATGGAATAAACCATCAAGAAATGTCCAGTTGCTTTCCAACCCAGGATTGTTTGTATCCTGTTGCTCCTGGCACCAGTTGCATTAGCTTTGACTGCAGGTGAGCTCGAGGAACAGATCAAACACTCCTCCCTCTACCACACATAGCACAGTTGTTGCTGCTGCTTGAGCTGAGCCACCACAAAAGTTTGGTCTATTATAGAGTGAGGCTGTTTGAGAAACAGATCGATTCTGCGGGGAAAAGAAAAGCCAAGTAAACTCTGCTTCATTTTTTTTATATAAGAGGTTGTTTGGTTGTCCCCTGATGAATCAGGCCCGTGATACACTTCTCAGACACAGCTACAGAAATAACTGTGCCAAGGCAGTTCAAAAGGTGGGACAGAGATAGGGCTGAAGAGAGGGCTGTCTAAAGTGAGAGAAGCAGTACTGCTACAGAATGGGAAGTGATACTCAAAACAAGCCAAGCTGTGAGCGAAATCACAGCATAAAGCAAACACATTAAATATTTGCTTTTCCCTGGTATATGCCAGTAGCAATCTTCTGTTATTAAGCACCTCCATCCCTCCAGGGAGGTACTTACAGAGCATTTGCTCACTATTCTTTTTTGTTTATCCTTCAAAAGGTGATCTTGAACTGTGTTAGCTTTCACCTTTGCATTCTTAACCAGTTCTCCCAACTCACTTCTCTCTTTTCTACTTTCTATAAAACATTGTCATCAATGGATTTCAAGTGTTTGTAGAAACTTTCACTGACATACATTTTGCCTAGGGAATACACCATTTAGTCCTCTCCTATTAAAAATGGTCTCAAGACAACCAGACACCACCACATATACTGCTTACTTTGTTGTACACAGAGGGCTTTGAGACTTGCACGTGTCAGGTCACAGACTCACGTTTTTATATGGGACTTGAATGCTGCCTGTATCAGCATATGTTTTAACTTTTTACCTCTCTGATTAATTAGAATTCTAAGTATGGTGCGAAAAGGCCAAGAACAAGATTCTACTTCTTTACAATCCTTTATCCATATGCCTTTGCTGTTTTCAGGCAAAATATTTTGCTTCTCTCATGGGAGCTCCCATTTTTTAAAGATCTTTAATCAATCATTTTAGGTACAGCAAGGGGGTAAAAAGATGCAGACTTTCTTATGTAGGGAGAAACAAATTAGGATGATTCAAGACAATTAAGGATACCGAAATTTCAAGTACACAAGTATTTCTGCTACTGCATGTCCACGAAGAAATTATTTGTAGTTTATTTTAAGCATAAGGTAGATCTCTGAGACTGCTGAGATATTGTTAACTTTAATAGCAACCTAAGCTGCTGGAAACAACTGGGTTGCAAACTTTCTTCCTCTAGAGAGGAACCAGAGAGTAAAGACAGCCTGGAAGTTTATTTTGGTCGAGGAAGCTAAATTTGAAAGACTTCAAAGACCTTTCCAGCAAAGAGGCTTCATATGACTATTCATTTACTTTACTTACAGATTTGGAAAAAGCAATGCAAGTGACAGCTCGGTCAAAAAACCCCATTCCGATGACATGCAGCGTATTCAGAGTTACAGAATCCCAGACACGCACGTGTGGTGGTAATTGCTATAAAAGACACAGAAAAAATCAGCTGAAACAGTGATGGCAAAAACCCATCAGGGTTTTAAAAAATGAGAATGCAACTGAAAAACCTCAAATTATTTTATCAAAATTTAAGGTATAAAAATTATCAGAACTTCTCCAGAGTCACCCACATAAGCACAGATACACTACAAATGGTTTGCTGATTACTGTGTCTAGGACCAATCTCTAGGACTGGCTGTCCAGAATGTACAGCACATCAGGTCTCACTGATCTCAATTTTTTCACTGAAGCTAATGGCCATTGAGATATTCCTCATGAAGTGAAAATTTTTGATGACTTTGTGGCATGAGACTTACTGGTAGGTCCAGGAACAGTTTAAACTGTACCAGCTGACATAATTCTGGCAACTGTCAAAGAGCAAGTGCAAAAAGAAGCTTAAAAATTTCTAACATGTAATTAATTTCAATGTCATAAAAATGGCTGGGGAAAAGAACTGTATCTTCTGACTCCTCTTTGCAACTGTAATCAAAATGAGACTGGTTTTTGTAAATAACATTCCAGGCGTACATGCTGGCCCAAGATCAACTCCCTGTGAAAGCCCCGTGGTCCTCTCTCCCTCCCTCCCTCCCTCCCTCCTCCTCTGGCTCCGAGAGCCCCACGCAGGCTCGGCGGCAGCGCTGCCTCCCACACCCACAGGGATCCACAAGGGGGCGGCCCCGGGAAGCACTTGCAGATGGAGTTTACTCTTAAACACGTTGAGGAGTTTAAGGCAGAGCCATCAACCTTCAACCTCTGCAGGGAAACAAGGGCCATGCTTTATTTCCCTTATTTTCCCATTCATTTGAACTGAAATAAATAGGCTTTATTACCATATCAAAAAAAAAAAAAAAGGCACAACAACCATCAGTCTTTTCTTGCTCATAAGTAGCGAAACTCTCCTTCAATGTAAGTAAATATATATATAATAAAAGAAATCAAGGCCGTGACAGTACCTCTGTTACATAAATGGCTTTTATGTAAGTTTACCTATATAGCACATTCCTCTCAAGAACAGACATCAAACCTTTAAATTTTATTTCACCAATACAATGGTAATTGTATTTATGAAGTTAAAAAATAAATGCCAGACTTCTCTGATACACAATAAAAACTAGTAGTTTATATTACTCAGCTAAATTATCTATACATAAACGTTATATTGCATAACTGGGATTTTGTTTTCTTCATTGTCCTCACTTTGACTGGAATAGAGTTATTTTTTTTGTTGTAGCTGGTAGAGTGCTGTGTTTTGGATTCGGTATGAGAATAACGTTGATAACATGGATGTTTTAGTTGTTGCTGAGCTGTGCTTATCCTAAGTCAAGGACTTCTCAGTTTCCCACGCTCTGCCAGTGAGGAGCTGCATAAGAAGCTGGGAGGGAGTATGGCCAGGACAGCTGATCTGAAGAGGCCAGAGGGATATTCCACACCACAGAACATCATACCCAGTATATAAACTGGGGGTGTTGGCCAGGAGGGGCCAATCACTGCTGGGGGACAGCAGGTTATGTGCAACTGTATCACACACCACTTATTTTTCTTGGATGTTATTTCTCTTGTTTTGTTGTTTTTATTACTGTCATTATTATTTTATTACAATATAACAGTAATCATTGTCATGATCACCTGTTCTTATTTCAAACCACAGGATTTACCTCCCACTGGAGGGTGGGATGGGTTGGGTGAGTGGCTGTGTTGTACTTAATTGCTGGCTGGGGTTAAATCACAACACTCAAAGTAGTTAGCATATCGATAATCTGGTTTTTATACTAAAATTCTTCATTGGCATCTACCAAAAATTCTCAATAGTTTGGTTGTGACAACAGCTGCATACTCTGCTGAGTAACTTTTTACTTGTGGTTTTCCTGCCTCTGCTTATTTCCATTCTTTCTCACTTTTCTTAGCTCTTTGGAGCAATATTCATGTTACTCTGTTCAAATAAATTCCTAGCCTACAGCCAAGCTTATCATAACACAGGTAATAATAGAGAGAAAAATATTCTTGCTTAGATGATGGCAAAAGTAGTAGTTTATTTGTTACAGCAAACAATCCAAAGCCATTCTTATTTGTAGTTTGGTTTGGTAACTGTGATCAGAAGTGAAGTTGTATTCTGTACAATTTAATCACTTCCTTTTCCCCACATCCATCTGCCCTCTCAGGTCTCCTTTGTAGCCTTATCCCACTATGCCTCTCAGAGCCCAGCTCCAAATTGACCTTCAGTCTAAGTCATGGGACCAGAAACCACTGACCAATCTTGATAATGGAACTGGGACACTGTGATAGAGTGCAATAGGCACTCTCAAATTAATTTTGCTTCCGTTCGGTCCGAAAATGTAAGACCAATTTAACTGCAACATGAAAAGAATAGAGCATTTATCTTCTTAATAACATACTCTTATGAAATATACACAACTATACATCAGCAAAGTGGTCACTCACTTTCCCATCCTTGGATGTCCCTGCAACTTGACCTGTTGCTATAGTGATCCTATCAGGATGAACAGCCAGGCTAAAAAAGAAAAGAAGGAGAGACCAAACTTAAAGCCATTTACTATCTAGTTCATCAAACTATTATTTGAGCTTGTAATAAATAACCCTGTTTTAGTCATAAAAAGCAGACAGCATACATGTAAACATCTTAAAAACACAAAAACAGAACTGATAAAGTAATTGTCATTGTCTTGTATTCAAAAAACTCTTCCTTTATGAACAAAGCAGTAATTTACTTAAGTTCTAATACCTCAAACCTATGTGTCAAACAAGCCCCAGGATTCACCTCACCTAGATTTAAATGGGTGCAGTGTGTAAGGAGTTTTCAGTTTGAGCTACTTATTGAACTTCAGCTGTCTCTAAACAGTGGTTGTAGAGATCTGGTCAGTCCCATAAATGCTGTCTAGTGACAGTCTTCCAGAGCAAACAGATGTATCCACTCAAACAATGCTCTTCAGACTGTATGACCAGTGACTTTCACAGGGAGATACCAAGTTCCTCTACTGCTTTTCAAAAGGTAAAAAAACTCCTTTAGTAAGAAATTATACAGAAATTAGAAATTTTGATTCAAAAATTAAACTGAGGTTCTAAAAACTGTGATCAATGTTAATTAATGCCTCTAAGAAAAAGCAACCTAAAATTTTTTATGGAGTACAGTCTATTTTTGCCCTAAAATCCTCAAAATTATTTTTTCATTGCAGATGCTTTGCATGCAGTTCTAGAGGCCAAGTACCCTACAAAACGAACCGTGGCAACAATTCAGCTTCAAAATGCAGAAAGGTATCCTCTTTCCAATAAACCTGAAAGCTTTGAAATATCCACAGTAATAGAAAATTTCAAAGAAAGAAATGAGATGGAACAAGTCCAAGGTAAAAATCTCCTTGTAAAACAACCAGATTATGCTAACAATTCAACTCATGAAACATGTTCACAATTCAAGCAAATTCAGTTTTCAGGTCTATTTTTGACTTTGAGGGAAAACAGGTGTTTCATAATGCCTCATCTGAAGAGAGGATGTCAAACTCATTTCATATATTTGAGCCCATCAGATAATCCAGGTGCTCTTTTTCAGCTATGCTCCGCAAACAGACTGATACATCAAGATAAACCATATGTTTATTTAGATTTCAATCTAATGAAACTGATATTTGCTGATATCTAGTATCTTCTGAGCTTCAACACAGTCAAATCGCTTTGAAGACCAAGTGTGCATGGCAGCAGACAAACCAGGCTGCTCAGGATTGGTTTACAGGCTATCTGCCACAGTGTAGCCATTCCTGAAGACTAAAAGAAAGACCACAGGTGAGATTAAAACTGGTTTTTTGGTTAGATTGAACCCAAAGAGCCTCTACCTGGCACTCAGGCTCTTGTGAAGGGCAATAATTCAATCCTATTTAAAAAAAGAGAAAGGAGCAGATTCTAAGGAAGTCTAAAGTTCAAACATCCTAAAAGAAGAGTAATGAAAATGAGTGTGTATCTATCCCAAATAATGTTTTATGAAGAAAACAAGAATGCTTATTAGGTGACTTACCACTTCACATCATCATTATGACCAGTGTAATGCCTCTGAAGTTGCTCTTCAACATTGAATAACACAACTACAGACGCGATGAAATACACGGTTTCGCCCGTTGGAAGAAGATAGAGATTACTGCGACAGTCCCGACCCCTATATCCATAGCTAGTGTGTTGGTCAAGCTGCAATAACATTATCTACCAATGAAGAATGTTAAAAATAAGAAAAAACAAGATGGAATCTCTGCCCTTGTAGTCTGCATCTCTTGGTTTGAGCACAGCTTTATCACTTGGCAACCTTCAGAACTCCCTCCCTTACTAGAGCAGAGAGTTAAAGTATTTTACACACTTTAAAACACACTTATCCTACAGAAAATCCATGGTAAAGAATATAGGGATTTGTAGACATATTACCCCTTTAGTATCCTCTGGAATTTGCTAAATACCAGACTAAGGCAATGTTAATTTTGTCCCAGGTGTATTTACTATTTACACTGCTTGATTAATTAAAATTAAAATTTAGACTTGATGGAAATGCTAACAAGTCATTCAGCACATCTCCCTGCTTTACAGGAGGATTGATTGCATTACCCTGCGTGCAGGTTGATTGATTTCATTATTGTGGACATTACCAGCCAGATGGATACAAACCATAAAAGGGTTACATCATCCGTTCCAATTTATTTTTGTAGTATTTAAGAGGCAGTGGCCCAGATTCTGATGCTAGTCATATCAACACGAATCTAAAATTAATTCAATGAAATAACTGGAATTAATGCAGAAATAATCTCATTTAGACTGAATGTTAATTCAGCCAAATTATGTAGTTTTATTCTTTTGAAGAGTCATTAGGGACTAAAACTATTTTGGCTTTCCTTTTTTTTATGGTAACAAAAAGAAACAGCATTAGCAGAATCTTGGCAAAACAGAAGTGCATTCTAATGCAGTCAATATGGAGAAGCTGGCTGTGAAAAATATATATAGAGATAATGGAACCCCAATTACATGATATAAAAAAGATACTTGTGCACTATTCTCTACGGTCAATGATAACCCACTCAAACTAAAACAGTCATGTTAAAGTTGTTGAAATAGTCAGGTCAATAGTTATTTTATTTAAATTCCTACTTTAGAAGAAACAGCTTGCAGATTTTTTTAAATAAATGCAATAGTACTAATGCTGCATGCCCAGTCATCAAAGTGTGAATTCAGAGCTTTCAGACTCCTCAGTTGAAACATTTCAGGCAAAGTTACTTCAAGTTTGAGATATTAAAATTCGAAGACATTGAAACAATCAATATCTTCCATTACAAAGAATTTACTATGAATTTTGAATCTGCCTGTGAAGGTTAGTGTTACTGCTCTAAATTGCTGGACAACACTTTATTTGTTCAAATTTATTTCTCTCTCTAAGGCCAGACAGTATCATGAACTGAAGCAAACATAATATTTCCCTAGTTCAGCAACACATAATCAGATTTATAGTGAACCAGTAGTTGAAGTTGGCAAAAGGAGAACTTCTTAAAAAAGTGAAGCAAAAACATTACACAGACATTCATTAGGAACAAATCTCAGTGCATAAAAACAGCTATTAAAAGGGAAAGATTACATTCTTTAGGGAAAATCTTCTTTCTTTACTACTTGTCCTGTGGGGAACAATGCTGCATTCAACCCTTCACATGACTGCTGTTGTCAAACACTCAGTTTCTTTCTATTGGCCTTTTTTCTCAGATGCAAACTCCTGGGGTTGATCCCTCCTTCTCCTCACTGTTTCCCACACTCGGATTTGGTGGCTTCGACTTGGATTTGGTGAGCTGGCATTTCAGGGAATGTTACCTTGACCTTTTCTTTTCATTTGGCCTGCAGTTTTTGTTTCAAACCTCCTGCCTGCCAAATGAGTTGCTCTCAAATGCATCTGGGCAGGCCACTGCTCCCTCCCTGATGTCCCTAGCACTGATTTCTCACTTGAATTTTCCTCCGCTGCTCCAGCCCACCCTCACACTTCATCATGCAGCATTTTCTGTTTCTTCATGACTTAATATATTTTATGGTATAGCAAAGGTCTTTTTCAGCTTACCCAGATACCTACTAACATGACTGCAATACCCCTTTATGGTTCTGGTATGCCCTGAAATCTGCACACATCAGGGCACACATCTACACACATTCTTCCTTCTGTTTCTTGTTGTAGTCTGCTTTGCTCTTTCCATTTGTCCACCCCACCTCCAATATCTTGTTTCCCTATCCCCCTTCCTACATTATAGAATATATCTGGCTATAATCCCACAGCCAGGTTCATTCGTCTGCTACAAAGATGTTTTCTCCTACTTGAGTTCTATTACCCTTCAATGAAACAGCACAGCTTCTCCAACTCAACTGGAAGAAATACCTTCAATACTGGTTGGTTTTCTGCTGTCTTTGTGTTTCTCCCTAAATTATCTTATTCTCCTGCCCACAGTTTTCTTCTCATTGACATAGTCTGTAAATTTGGCATCACCTTCTCCTTCTTTTTTTTTCTAATTTTTCTTAATACTTCACATACCTAGTCATTGCTGTAACTTTTAAGTATAGATATCATGATTGGGTTTAACTGCAAATAAATTAGAAACTGAAAAAAATAGCACAATATTTTTGGAAAAATTTGCCTCTCCTCAATAACCATATAGGGTTAGTTAGATCATCTTATTAATTCATACCTCTTCTATTCATATACAACCTTTATAGATAGGATTCTGATGGGTATACGGACACACACCTAGAAGGACATATGAATATTCAAGCTAAAAATAATAGCCCATCTGGCAAATAATCAGTCATTCAAATAAGCTTAAGTGAGAAACTAATGAGACTGAAATCATGACCTACTCATATAATTATAATTTCTTATAATAGTCTGAAATATTGGCTTCAAGTTCCACCTACACACTGCTAATGACAATCTGTTTTGTTTTGTGGCTAGGTTTTTGTTGTTTCAGCAAGCATTCTAACACTTTCCCCTCTATCATCCTTAGCCTCCTGAAGCGAGGGGCTCCTTGCAACTGTAAAAAGACATCATTCAATTCTGTTGTGATATGTGGTGAGAGCCTGTACAACAAACAATTAGATGGTGAAGTGCTGCATGCAGCATTTATCATTCTAATCTCACCTGTTTTATTAATTTTGTGGATTTTTTGTCTTTTTAACTCATCTCCATTTATTTCTGTATGCATTATCTATGCAATTTCAGCAGACTGAGATAGAACCTACAGGCTCAGCTGCAACAGGAATAATAAGAATGGTTACTAAATCTGTCATTAATCTCTTGTGAATACAAAGAGACTTTTGGAAACTCCCTGAATATTCTGAAACCACATGCAGTTCTATTTATACAACCTTTATAGATAGGATTCTGATGGGTATACGGACACACACCTAGAAGGACATATGAATATTCAAGCTAAAAATAATAGCCCATCTGGCAAATAATCAGTCATTTAAATAAGCTTAAGTGAGAAACTAATGAGACTGAAATCATGACCTACTCATATAATTATAATTTCTTATAATAGTCTGAAATATTGGCTTCAAGTTCCACCTACACACTGCTAATGACAATCTGTTTTGTTTTGTGGCTGGGTTTTTGTTGTTTCAGCAAGCATTCTAACACTTTCCCCTCTATCATCCTTAGCCTCCTGAAGCGAGGGGCTCCTTGCAACTGTAAAAAGACATAATTCAATTCTGTTGTGATATGTGGTGAGAGCCTGTACAACAAACAATTAGATGGTGAAATGCTGCATGCAGCATTTATCATTCTAATCTCACCTGTTTTATTAATTTTGTGGATTTTTTGTCTTTTTAACTCATCTCCATTTATTTCTGTATGCATTATCTATGCAATTTCAGCAGACTGAGATAGAACCTACAGGCTCAGCTGCAACAGGAATAATAAGAATGGTTACTAAATCTGTCATTAATCTCTTGTGAATACAAAGAGACTTTTGGAAACTCTCTGAATATTCTGAAACCACATGCAGTTCTATTTATACAACTTCGAAAAAGACTATATGTCCCCTGTCTTCTTTTTTATAAGGACAAAGCAACTTCCTATTTGCACTATTTGGGACCAAAAAAAAGTCTTTTTCTTAAAATAGAATACCTTATGAAGACTTCATCTCTCTAAAGTTAATGAATATTACAAATAAACTCTGATATTCTTGTGTTTATATTTTATCTTGAATCATCTATAATATTATACAAAAATGAAGTATCATTTTATCTTTTCAATAAAAAATATATTTTACCATTATACTTTAAGTGAAATGTGAAAATTTCTGTATTTAATGAAACACTGATTTCTTTCAAGTTAGAATTCTGTAGTTATGTCCACTCATGGAAGTCAGTGGAAGATTCTGGTTGTTTGATATTTACAGTGTTTAAACACATTTGAAAGTATAAATTCAAATATTATTCCACAGATGGTATTTTATTAATTTTATTGCTAAGCACCTATCTGTTGCAAAGCACTACTCAATTGAGGACTTACTCAAGTATGGAAGTTGAATGTAGCATCCTCTTAAGGGCAATGGTGCACATTTTATAAAACAGTTTAAAATGATAAATTAATGCTATGAATCAGAAAAAAAACTGAGCTTGTTTTATGCATACTGTAATTAATAATCACAGCTCAATCCATTCTTAGGATATGCCTAGTTTAATCTTTGTCTAATTAGCATGCTTCAGACTTAACCTTCAGGGAACATTTAAGCAAAATCTTTCTTAACCTGCCACCTTGTACTTCACAAAGTGAAGAACAGCAGCCCCAACAAATTAACACCTACTTTCAACTGAATGTCGCTTCACGATCAAATGAACTCTATGACCTTAATTCTGCTATACTTGAGCCTGAAAAGTTATTTAACCCAAATCATTAAGGAATGATTGATTTCCAGTAGTCTTCCAGCACAGAAAGGATACACCCATTCCAGTTTAAGCCTCTTGGCTGGTAGTTCTACTTTTGCTTCCAAATTGTAAGATTCCACTTGGTCTTTGGGCATGTACATGGTAACAGGACGTCCACGAAGAAACATTTTTACGTATCCTTCCTCTACAAAAGGTCAGAAACGTTCAATGTTACACAAAAAAAGCCATCAGGGGAGAATTTCAGTGCTCCTCCATCCCTTCCCACATAACAGCTTGGTGCATTACAATTACAGAATGGCATGCAATCTCAAACTTAGATATTTAGCAGGTTGTTTTATCCTAAATCATAATCAGTAAGCAGATTTTTTTAAAAACATATGAAGTCCCTTTTCCTCTAAATATTCTGAGTAGCAGAATTAGAACTAAACAATGTCATGAAGAACTACAGAACTGAAAGGTCTGAAATAGAAACTTTTTTTTTGATGAAAAATAATATTACAATATTACATTTTTTTAAATATTAAAAATGAAGAGGAATACATCAAAGATTACAATTAACGCAGAAATGCCACTTAAAATTAATTTTATTTTTTTAATCAATGTTTACAGTTGAGCATCAGCATCTAAATTATTTTCCAACACTCAGTTGCATTCTTTGCATCTCAGTGTAAAGATACACTTTACACTTGATACAGTGCTAGAGATACATTCGAAATAAGAATCACAAACAATTAGTAAGAGGAATCATGCTGATGTACATGCAGAAAAGATATGTGCTTCAAGAATTACTAAACATTGAAAAAGGAATGACAACAATGACAGCACATTAAAAGAAAGGAAAACGACATACAGGAGAGAAGCTACAAAAATTGGCTGACAAAAGTAAACATTTCTAGAAGAAAATACTAAAAGTAATGTGTCGAATTGGTAAGAAATATTTTGGGGGGAGAAAAGCAGGGATTAATAACAGATCTGGAAGTACTGACTTGGGGACTTCATGGGGCTTATAAAACTAGGAGATCTGGGAAATGCCATGAAGGTCTGACTAGGACTTTTGGGAAGTGGCAAGGCCAAAGTGGGTGTCCTGTGAACTTCTGATGAAGTTTGTCCAGATTCAGAACGTGCTGGCTCTTGCTGCTCCATCGGCAGATCAAGGGGTTCAGCCTTGTTCTCATGCGAATCAAGCAGTTTTGGAGTCAGTGACATCTGTAGAGTTACTAGACAGAATAATCGTGGGCACAGAGGAAATGGAAGGGCAAAAGTAACAAAAATCATGTAAATGAAAAAAATTATACAATTTAGGACTGTTAAAATTATGCTATGAATTGTTAAGTATCATTACAACTATATCTTTTTTTTAATTTGAAAACTAAGGCTTTATTTTAATTGGAAAAATGCATACGCTACAAATCCTGACTAAATCAATAAAAATTATTGGTTGAACAAATAAACATCATAGTTATGCTGTATTAACTAATGTGTATTTTGCCTTTAGACTAACTCACATGGGAAAGAGATCTACCTTAACTGTCACAGTAAAGTTCCAGCTAGGTCTCTCTAGCTTCACTTACACAATTCAGACAATAAAATGAAAACAACAGAAAACTTAATGCTAAAAAGAAGTGATAATAATGGTGAAATAATGATGACAGAAGGTTAGAAGTTCAAGATGCCTGTTGAAAATGACAGAATATTGGAATTGTTTCTAAAAGTCCAATAGATCCGTATTGGAAAATAAAATAGAGGGCAGAGCATTAAATAGCAAAGCATTACAGACTATTTGTATGCGCATGCAGCATCTATTTAATGAGCTTGAAACACATGCCAGTACTGCTGATGCTGGTGCACTGGAAGTCAACAGATTTTCAGCAGTGACAACTACTGACTTATCAAAGACTGGGAATGAAGGAAAGTTTAATTCACTGAGCTGCTTTTCTCACCTGAAGCTTACGGGACTCCTAAAACTTGCATTTAGCCATCTACAGTGGAACTATTTGACCTGGTCACTCAAGACTAGGAAATAGCAAGTGTATACTAGCAAGTGCAGTAAACTATACCAAGTATATTATAACAAGTGTGTAAATTACACCTTCAGAATGCACGTGTGTGTGTCTCTTTCTGCTAACTATAAAGAGGAACTTAGGCTGACTAGGTCAGGCACGGGGCACAGAACTAATACTGTGTATTTATTTCTAACTTTTGGTAAAAATAATTCTATTCATTCCATTCATAATTAAAATAATTTTTGTTCCTATTCAAAATATATTACCTATACAATCAATCAATTTTCATCATTTTCTTTGTACTTTTCTTAAATAAGTTTTTAAGACAGAGAAGTTCTAAATGTGAAGATATAGATGTAAAGACAGACAATCATAAATCTACAAAGACAGACTAAAGGTGAAATTTTAGACAAATGTATCTTTTACATCTGCAGTTTTGTAAATTTGAAATTGTTGCAAAAATTAACAATTACTGAACTAAAATAAGGCACATGAATGCCAGTAGGATCTGCGAAGGAGACCACCACTGACTGCAGGTATAAATTTGTACAAAGAATACACAGAGGCAGAGACTTTCTAAAAGACTTTGCCTTAAGAATAAACATTTTTTGCTTTATGAAATTTTACATATATTGCAAAGCTGAAAGATGCTGATTAGTGGGAAAACTGTGAGGATATAGCTATCTCTAAAAAAGCAGATAAATCTGTGATTATACCACAGATATAAACATGCATCCAAAATGTGCATATTTACACTACCATTTCACTAAAGCTTTAGAAACCAATATGATTTGTTTACCAAACGTAACTCTGCTTTATGACATTGAGCAAAAAGCACTAAGAAATTAGTTGGAGGCCTAGGTCTGTTTATTCAACGTTCAGAAAAACTACAGCCTACTCAGTAAGAAAAAGCAAGGGAAAAACCAAGGCTTCTATGACCATGTTAGGCTAAGAGCGAAACAGCCAACAAAGGCGCAAATTCTATACGCATTTCAGCAGAAGTGCAGAATGCCACTTCAAACACAGTGAACATCCACGTGTTGCCATATAGCTCTCTCAACATGTTTTTTTTTCTAATTCAAATTCTTCAGCATAAGTCCACAGGAATGTAAATTATAACCCCCTCTTATGATTAAAGTGCACCTGAGGGTTATAATTCAGTAGACTGTATAATAAATGGTACAATATTTTTGCTTAATTCGAAAGAACTAGAAGGTTTTACATTGCAAAATGCGCACAAGTTGGAGAACAGCTGTTTACACATTGAGCTTTTATCCCACCAGAACCAATTTGCTTCGAGAGCTATGAGGTTTTGGAAGTAAAGCCTACCTTTGCAGTGTGTCACACGGCGCTTCCCTTGTGATTACAGAGACAGAGACAGAAGGGCTAGATAAAGATGTGTTTGAATACAATAAACTCACTAAATACCTGCTCTATGGGCTGTCCAGTCGTATTCTGCTGCAGGCTAAACTAAGCCTTGACAAAACACTGAGCCATACACTGGGAATTACCTTCTAAACCCTTTTCCTTAGCTAGGGGCTCTGTTTTGTCCTACCATTAAAATACTAGCTTAAGCTCTATTTTGCAACCATATATTTCAGTAAAACACCAAGTACAACCTTCTTAAAAAAATTATTAAATTCAGTAGGAATTTTGTCCAGATGAGAAGGACACCTGTGTAGTGTCACATCTGTTTAATTACTTATCTTTACCCACGAGAAAAATATCAGAAGTATTCCAAACACCTTGCTTACATGGTGTAAGGGAAGGAGAAATGTTAGGCAAGGAAAGTATGTTCTGTGCAAATCAGAAGTTTTCTGTTTCTAAACCAACAGTTTCCATGGAAGGGACATGAACTGTGATAATATTGTCACAAGAGACTTAAGGGCTTACTTAGTTTCATGTATTACTGACTTCAAAATCAGTTACACTAAACCTCGAAGTATGGCTTAAGAGCTTTGTTGGATGTTGATCAGTCAAGGCAGTAAACAAAAGATCTTCAACTTTTTCAGCTTAGTGTATGGTTACCGTCACAGAACTAGGCATAAAAATATGATACATCTGATAAATCAACAGCGCTTTTTCCCTTCCTTATTTTTGTTAAAATAAAGCTTTATTTTAGTTGCCCTTAGTTTTTCGGAACAAAAATAACTGTTATATGTACTATTCAGCTTCATATTTTTATTGGGATTTTTCTAAAGTTTCAACTATTTAATGACAAGGACAAACTCTGCTTCCACTTTTATCTACTATTTCACTTTCAAATCTTTTAGCAGGGATAATACATAAGTAGAAAAAAAATTAAGTGCTTTTCAAATTAAAGATAGACTACCAAAACTGTAGTAACAAAACACCCTTTTATTTGTAATTTCACAAATTATAACATAAGGCATTGGGACAGATGTGGCATTCTTCAACAGTTGTAGAGGGCTCCCTTTTATGATTAAATTAACATGACAGCATCATAGCTGGAACTTTGCATTGCTTTAATTACTAAAACGTCAATACTGCTTTGAAAGGGAAGACATATGTGAGGTAAGAAAACACAGCCTTTTTTGTTCTTATCTTCTTACAAAGAACTGTAAAATAAACCTATTGGGTCAATAAAAACTAGAGCAGACTGATCAGCTTGTTAAAAATGTCACCAGCAGCCTGTAAGTATCATGTTTAGATTTCCAGTCATAGTTTCTAGGCATCCACAAAAGTGGGAAGTGGGGAAGAAAACCCAAACAAAATCCCTAAGATGTTATCACAGTTGTTATCAGCTTAAAAATTTTTTAAAATTTCCTACCTGCACTGAACATTGGTTCCTTGGGTTTGCTGTGAAAATAATGAAGAAATTACTATTTAAAAAGCATGTACATACATTCTGTACATAAATATATCAATATAAAAATTAAAATTTAATAAATAATATATAAAATTTTTGTGTGTGTACATATAAAAATACTTTTTCACTTAAATTATTTACAAGGTAAATCACCAGGCAGACACAGTTAAAACCAGTGAGCATTGAGGCACCCTAATGGCAGTTGTTAAAACTTTTATATACAATTCTTTGTACATTCTCAAAATTATAGATTTTCCTCCACTAACTACCAAATTCTCTTCTTCTGCAAAGTTAGTCCAGTTACAGGAGAACACAGGAACTGGTCATGAGCAGCTGCGTCATTTTTGGTTTCCATTCAGTGAGATTCATTACTCTAAAGCAACCTACAGCTGTAATAAAAAGCCAGGAATACATCCTTAACTACAACATCTCTTTGCATATGCAGAGTAAGGTATCACTGTATGTGTGGGTGTTCGCTTTCTTCACAATTTTGTTCTCCCAGGATTCGAGCAACAAACCAAAGTTTGAATCCTCCTTTTCCAAAGAGTCCACATAAAACACGGAACTTCCCAATTGTTCCTTGGTGAATGGCAGTACTTGCTAAAACACAGAAAGCACATAAACATTATTTAAATGCTTTCTCTTTGTCACTGTACTGCTACCTGGAAGACAACCCAAAATTGGTTTGTCTTTTCATCTTGAGAAAAAAACTGGGAAAACTTGAGGGGCAAATTAAGTGTATTGAGAAGGAAGAGGCAGAAAAACTTAGAAGCATCCTGGATAGTACTACCCTGGCCAAAAGGAATGAACCTTTGTCAAGAAATGCTAGTCATTTGTTTTCTTTGTCCTCTGCCCCTGTAAATCAAGCTTGAGGGTGTTGTTTCTGAAGAAGCATGAAAGGGACAAAAAGCCATGTTATGCAGTTATTTTTTCCTCCCAGTTCCTCTTTTTTTACTCCAATAAAACTTTTGAAATATCAAATTACTGCTGTATGTTTCTTAAGGAGATCCCAAAAGCACTGAAAGCCCTATCCCTGTGATGGAGAAATGCTAAAGCATGAAGTATTCCTAGAGTTTGATGTCATCTCCGCATCCGCTCCTAGACTGCAGTGAGTAGATATGGAGAAACCAAAAAAAAGAAACAAAACTGTGTTGGATTTTTGCACATAGCTTTTTCTCTAAGCATAAAAGATTTTCTCTCACTACAATAGAAGTTGTAGCAAATAATTCTACAGTATTTTTCCTTTTGCCTTGATTTGACAGTTATATTGAGAATAATATATTTACTAAATGATAAAACCAAACCAAATTAATTCTGATTCTTCTCCCAATTTAGCAACTTTCCATATCAGCCTTCTTAATCATGCATCAAAATTCATGCTTCAAGCTGGCATACACAGCCAATGTCATCTATATAAATAGCATGATGTGTTGCCATTGTTAATACCAAGATGAACATTTTCTTTTGCAAATGAAGATATTTTTAGGAAACAAAAAAATTCATGGGATGGAGCACCAGTCAGAAATGCTGCCATATTAGAAACAAAAGAGTCCCTAGCTCTGAACAGATCATGCTGACTTATTCAAGCTAATCAAGCTAATGTGAAAGGTTGATTCATGACAGTAATAAAGTAAATCATGTGTACTTTCTAATTATACAAATCCTAACCACACATACAGCTCAGAGCTCTGGCTACCCTTTTGCATGAACTTGAGTCACATCCTACTTATCTAACCCTCAGGAAGGCTTACCCCTGGCTCATAACCACAGGGAGTTGGGACACTTCATAGAAGCATGTGAGATTATGCTCATCTCCTTACTCCTTATGCTTAAAGCCTCTTAAAAGAGCTTTCTATAGCATTCTGGTTTTGCATAACAGCCTATAACTCTATATACTTTGAAAAACAATGATTTCATTATTGTCTTTTTAGATTCCTGCTGTGCATTCTGCTTTAAGCTTCATCTAAGAACCATCTTAATTCTAAGAATCATAGAACAGAATCACAGAACACAGAATATCTCAAGCTGGAAGGGATGAAAAGGGATCATGGATACAAATAAAAAGACTGTGAGTGGATGGCTAGGTTAACACTCTCTTCCTCACCCTTTCACACTACAGTCAGCCCCCAGCAAACAGAATCCTCATCATTTGTCATCTAGCCTCATGACTCTTGCTTTATATTTTGCATGGTGACCCAGCTTCAAGAGGAAGCACCAGGCAGGTCTTTAGCCAGCCTCTTCCACAGAATAGAGACACTCTTCAAAGAGATGAAAGCTGGGGTGTTGAACAGCCTCAGGCTGCATGGGATAGAAATAAGGGAAAACTCTCTAAACATACAATAATTGTTTTCATGGCAGTACCAACATCACTAGCTCAAGTTCAGGCATTCTAACACACACTCTTGATTAGTTCCTTGGGATACTTGTACTTCACTTAGGCATTGCATCACTTGTGTGCTGGACCTCCTCCCCAGTTCCTAAATCAGTGATTTCAGTGCTGTTGATCAACCCTTTGTGGCCTAACAACTGCAGAATGACCCAACCACTGAGTTTCTGTTAAAATAGTATGAAAAAAAAGTATCTGAAGCATTGTGGTCAACCTTAGAGCTGAAATAAAATTTTGCAGATAACCATTATTTTGTTGTAATATTTTTATTTCTCAGTTATTGTGAAATCAATTTTCAAGTAGTACAGGACATCCATGCAGCTAGTAGAAGTCATAGCTTTTCTTAATTTAAGTGAACAACCTAATTAATATTCTCACCTTATCTCTTTAGTAGCTTTAACACATAGCTAATTTCAGACAATTGCCACCTTAAGCAGGCAGCAGGATGAGGGATGTATCCATAGAGGTCTTTGCAAGTGTATTTAGATTTTGATGGTAGATCTTCCATTGCATAACACAGACTGAATTCACCTTTTAGATAATTGATCTAATGAAATTTTTTACATGAGATAAAATACACAGAGCAAGGGCACTGAAAGATCACGTTTGTTAACACTTTTTCAAAAAACTACAGTAAGTTAATACAGTAAATTGAAAAAGCAATGAGATTCACCACTGGTAGGTGAAATATGCTTTTTCATATTCCAGAAACAAGTCTACCCATCTAATTATAGAAACTTGTTTTGTTTGTAGAAGATAGTTTTTTTTAAATCAATGAGGCCATTGCATAAGGGTTGTTGCTATAATTTGATATGTGCGATAGAGTAGGAAGTTATACATAGATGCAAAATAAAAAGTAAAAAAATCCAACCACTCCAAGAGGTCAATACAGAAAACAGCAGTTCCGTGTTAATGACTTCACTGAGGCAAAGCAGCTGCATGAAGTTATGCACTATTGCAGTACTTCACAGAATCTGAAGCTTAAATTAAGAGCAAGCTGTTTTCTTAGCAGTCCCTTCACTGGCCATTAATTTTTTTGCTTAGTTTTGCCTTTTAAAACTTCCAGGGTCACTTGTCCCCAAGAGTGTTGATTTTTGGTTTGCTGATTCAGATGGATCAGGTAGACATTCTCTTGCGCTCTGAGGGCCAGAGACATTTAGAAAAAATTTTGTCCAAGTCTGAACATTCAGAAAGAGACATGGCTGCTAAGTAATCTAATAAAAGACTGATTTTCCTCTCAAAAGTAGTATTTATTTATGGATATTATGTATTGCTACAGTTAATTTGTTTTTCAATTATATTTCAGTCTTTTAGAAATTCTCAAGTACACAAGTCTTAGAAACAAAACCAAGCCCACATATATTTATTATGTGTTGTTTATAATTATGTTACATAAAAAAAATAAGGGGAAAAAAAAATTCAGATGCTGAAATAAAGTCAAATTTCCATAAGTGACAGAAGGCCCAGTCCCATGGAATTCTGTCAGCTTCTCAAAACTTCATTTGCATGCATAGATGCACAACGCCAAGAAGATGTTTAGACTGGCTAAATTTTTAGTTTGTGTAATTATTACCTCTTCCTTGGTTACAATTTTATAACCTTTTTTCTGATAGTACTCGAATTTTTTTCGTTACTTCCATAATTTGCTAGGCCTTTCAGAGAGTTACAGAACATGTAATGTTGGAAGGGACCATGCTTTCCAGGAACCCCCTGGACTATTTGTGCTTTGCTGTGTTGCTTCTCCAGCAGATGTCAGAGTAGTTAAAATCCCTCACCAGAACCAGTGCTTCTGACTTTGAGGCTGCTTCAAAGCTGACTGTAAAAGGCCCCATACACTTCCTCCTGCTCAGACAGATTGTAGCAAACAGCCACAAAGCGTCATCCTTACTAGTCTGCCCTTTTATCCTAACCTAAGTTAGAATTACTTTCATTAAGCTTGCACACTTGCAATCTTGCTTCATAACTGAAGACATATGCCAGAAAAAAAGCTATTAATAATGTAATCCCCTATATTTGGGCTGCCAATTAGGTCAAAACCAGCTCAGTCACTCCTTACATCGAGCAAAGATGCTGAAGGGACTTAAAGGGAGGAACGTTTTGTGCCACATGATTGGCTCAAGAGCAGCCTAATGACTCCTATAATGGCACTGATGCCAAGACTGAGCAGGTAAATTGGGTTTTTATGTGATGTTCATTAACAACATGTTTTTATGGTCACATCATCTGTAAGACTGTGTAACAGTACCATAAACATGACTTCCTACATAGGAAACTGCAATAGAACAGTGAGATGGCCAAGACTAAAATCTGTCAAGGAAATGCAGGAAAGAGCCATTTGACCTACACTGACAAACCTCAGTGGAACAGCTAATTGTTCAAGGCCTTCTTAGGTCTGAAACCCTTGCACAAGAGATTGTCTCTTTTTTTTGCACTGCCAGCAGTACAAAGAAGCATCCTCAGAGATATATAGAGAAAGGTATCACTTTATTTTGCTTCTTTGGATAGCACTTACATGCAAGTCTCTCTCTTTATTTACCTTTAATCTGGTCCTCAGATGAAGCAGTCACAGCTTAGACTGGTTGGGCATCAGGCTACACGTGGGATGTTGTGAGTGATTGCTTTCCAGAAATCGTTTTGTGTTTTCTTCCTCTTTCCTTCACTTTTCAAACTACCTTTATCTTTACTTACAAGTTTTCTCACTTTTGCTCTTCCTATTCTCTTCCCTCATCCCACTGGAGGAGAAGCAGTGAGTGGCTGTGTGGTACTTAGATGCTGGGTGGGGTCAATGAACCACAACAAGGAACTTGAAGAAGTACATGTCAGGAGTATGAAGACCAAGGGAAGCCACTAAGACACTGGAAAAACCATGTTTTTTCACTAACTTTGCTGGGAAACTCTAGGTTCACACACTGTTTATGGTTTAGAAATAACACAAAAAAATTTAATCTAAATATGAAAACCTGTTTTACTTGAAATGTTTTGAAATATATTTTTGTCCAACTGTAGGAGCTCTGTAAAAAAAGAAAGCTCCCAATGTTTGCTAGACAGGAGAAACTAAGGTCACTAAATTAGAGCAGTAGGCAGAGAAAGGAGATAGGTTTTTAGGTAACATTACCTTTCACTGTTCTTTTTACCACTAGATGAACTGCTGGTGGAACCAGTGCGGTTGCGACTCCCTTTGGAATCTCCATAGCTTTCCCTCCGACCTCCTGGGGACACACGCTCAGCTGAACTGGTTCTCTTAATGGTGCTAATAAAAAAAGGAGCAAGTTTTACAGTGGCACTTTTAAAAGTATGTCTATGGTAAATATTTTTGAGAAATGTATCAAGTAGATTGTTGACTCTAAAAAATAACTACAACTTTGTTTTTAAATATAACTTGATTTGTTGAAGAGCCTACATAAGAGTTTTGCTGAGTACCTGGTGCAACAGAAACAAACACACTGCTCTATCCTTAATCATAGAATAGAAGATGGGCTAAAACAGTTTCATAAAATAAGCTGCAATATCTATTTTTCCAGGTCCCATTTCAAATCTCTGATTACCACTTCACACTTCTGAACTTCTGGACTCTCTTAATAAGAAGTGAAAAATTTAAAGAGAAAGCATATTACCTGACACCTCCAGCCATACAGAGAATGCCAGAAGTAGGTCAAAATTTGAACACAGGCAAGCTAACTTTGGATCTTCATTCAGTATCAATTATTCTGTAGTTCAAAGCTAGTTTAAACATACTCCAGACTGCAATTAATGGTGAGCTGGCCTGCATTTTTTTCTAAGCTTGTCAAAAATGTATGTTTCCTACTTACATGTATGAATAGATTAGATTCCCCACATCTCCTGATAGGGGATTTCTCAAAGGCTTAAAGCTCGCCTTACCCTCTCACTCTTCAACCATCCTTCCTGCCAAGATAGCTATCTGGGAGCTCTTATGAGATTTTGCAGCACCCTTTAGACATCCAGCTCTCTCTGATGGAAAAAAGTGGGCCAAAACACAAGCAGTGTTATTTTAGTAAATTAAGAGATGCTCACCCAGAGTTTACACCTAATAAGAGACAAATTATTGTGGATATTCCTTAGCCCGAAGCACTTCCCCCTAGAGCAGTGCTTCCTCACAGAAGAGGGAGCAGTTAAAGGTGAAGCCCCAGTGTGGGAGACTCTTTTCACTTTGCTGCACTCCCTTGGCAGCAGAGGCTCAGGCAGCAGTGCCCGGGCCAAGGCAGGAACCACCTGCAGTAGCTGAACCACAGGACTCAGTGTAAGGGTCTCATTTCCCTCCACTCCAGCCCTGTGCTGTTTTCTCCCTTCAAAAAGCAGAATGTCCCCTTTACCCATAATATCCCCATACTACATAACCACCTTCAGCAGCTCTCTCACCCCAGCAGCCATGGAGACCAGTGATTGCTTTCAAGCTCACATCTCTCCTACCCAAATCCCAACCACTTTGAAAACTTCAGTTCTTTCTACTCTTCTCCTCCAAGGCCCAATCTCATCCTGTCACACCTTTTATCATCCCCACCCACCTCCCCCTTGACCTCCACACGTCCCCGGGAATGCTCTGTTTACCAGAATGCTCATCTCAAGCATCCTTGAGGACCACTCCAAACCTCTCCATCAGCCCCTTACAATTATCCCTACCCTGTTATCTAAGTCAGCTCCTCTGGCTCTGTCCCACTTTATGTGTGGTATAAGTTGGCTCTTCATAACTACAGGATACAAAATAGACTTATATGTCTGACCAAAAATGCTCAGCTTACCAACTGTAAACTACCGTTGATACACTTCATTGTTTGGGTTTTTTTATAGTATATTTATTCCTGCTCCCCCATGTATTTTTACCAGCAAGGAGTGGAATGTTTCAACTCCTTAGCTGAGGCTCAGCTACAAAAACAATAGGAACACCCAAACCAGAGTCTTTCTGCAAAGCAATCACCCTTCTGAAAAGAAGGTAGCCCCCATCCAGGGTAGATCTGCAGAGCCGATGCATGTTAAGATGCATCTCAGGTAGCTTGACAAAAAAATCTTCTGGAACATGCGATGGGAGGACAGATGTTCAGTGCTGCATTCTTGTAATAAAAACAAGCTTCAAATGATTAAGCTGAAATTAAAAAAAAACCTCTTTCTGCAGAGAAAGCGATGTAAGAGAGCAAGCAGAATGCAAAATTACACACAGGCACAGAACAAAACACATTCATAGGCCAAGGGAAAAGACAGCAACAAGAATGTAATTCTATCTTCATTTCAGAAATATGTCTCCTACACTAGCCTAACATTATCCAAGTCATCTCAATGTCAAATGCATGAAAAAACCTTTGCTAGTAAATTAAAGGATATAGTGTTAATATTTAACTGTTCTCCTTGCATCTCATAACATCATCCAATTTAATACTACTCCAGTTTAAAAAAAATAAAGCCTTGATTCTGAAAATGTTTACTCCATATAAAATAGCTTTATTAGCATGAGTCCTTCCAGTATTACATACAGTAATTTCAAAAACATCCTCTCTGTATGATTTTGGAGTATCAAACCTTTATTTTGGCATCTTTTCCTGGTTAAGGAAATTTCAGTGTAGGCTGATGTTGATGCATATTTTTCTGCTTAAGCAAAAGAGGCGTCAACATCAGCCTACACTGAAATTAAATCAAGGTAATTATCAAATTATCCTAATCTTAGAAAAAATGTAAGTTACAGAAGCAATTTGAAAATAATTTTAATGTTGCCTGGGGTTTTATTTTTATAGCTATCAATACGCAAAAGATGAACTGGTGGATAAAAAAACAAAAGGGTGGAACTTAAACATAAAAGTGTAATTCTATCTTCTTTCTGAATAATGAAGTGTCATATCAGTATAAAAACTACTTCTACACAAGAATTCTTTTAAACCCTTCTGGCTTATGTCCGTTACTGCTTAAACTGATTAGTAATGCCATCTTCTGACAAATTTTGTTTTAAACTTTCAACAACAACAAAAGCCAAGTGAGAAGTATTAGCAGGTGGTTGGAAAAGAGGATTATAATTCCATTATTTTAACTCAATTTTGGCATATACAAATTTTGGCAGCTACAGTGTTAAACACCAATGATTATATCCATGGCTAGAGTAGATACACTGTCACCTGAGGAGAAATTTAAAATTACAGAAAGTATTCATTTAACTTACAGGTTTGTAAGAGTACAACTGAATTCCAGAATTTGAATTCCACATCAGTGATATGAAAGGAGAGCATTTTCAATTATTTGAAAAGATAACATTCAGTTAACATAATTTTTAACTTGTTTGAGACAGCAATGTGGTCTAACACCTCTATAATAAAAATTATGTTAGTATGAGATAATGCAGATACTATCATTGAAATTATTACTATTTAAATTTTGCAATGCATTTATCAATGATGAGAAAGTTTAGAACATGTTCTTGTGAAAATGTTAAAAATAGCAATAATAATTACAGTTCTACCATGTTAATGCTTGTACTAGAACAGCCACTTTCTACGTGTTGAAAAGAAACGGATAGGAAAAACAACTGAATTTCAACACTACAAAGCTATTAAGGATCCCTCACCTTAGAGCAGGTTTTTTCAGTTTGCATGCATTGAGAAGATTCACAGACCTGCTTAATCCAGGTTGAGAGGTGCGTAAACAAAGCAGAATAAAAAGTGAATGCAACAATAAAACGTGGAAACAAGACATTTACAAGACTTACATTAAAAGACATAATTGCATGCTTTCAAGATATGAAGTCACGTGCAAGAGTAAACAACATAGTGCTTATTGACTCAGATGTTTGATCATTTCAAACCATACATTTCAGAACACCAATGTATCTTTGAATGACAAAATCTCAGCAGTGCCCCAATAGACTGACCATTTGTAAAGCGACTCAAAATTAAAATAAAGTAAAAATCAAAGACGCTATCAGAAGAAACAAGACAGATGATCCAGCTAGAAGACAAAGACCATTAAAAAAGCAACAATAAAGACAAGAAAATAAATCCTCATATATGTGTGAATATACACTGTATAGCATGAATGTTTCAGGTGCTTGCATTACTGAATTGTGATGAAAAAATCTGGCCAAAATTAAAAAGTATATACCTAATTACCAAAATTATTTGGGAAAATATAAAAGCTTTTTAATAAAAGAAATTAAAAAACAGTGCACAATGCTCTTAAGACAGTAACTGATGATATTAATATTTTGAAACTTGTCTAGCACTCATTCTGACCCTCATTTAAATCAATTAGAATAAATTCAGGAATAACATATGACTTTAATTTCATTATGCCTTTGAGCAAAACGCTCTAATAACTTTAATTGTTAGAGATACTGTGAAGTGGCATAATAGTTTTGCCACCCGAAGTTCAATGGCGAGGAATTTCTTTTTTAATTTATATTCTGATGATTTTTAAACATTTTCTTTGAAAGTCAAGTGTTAAATAGAACACTTAATTGCAGGTTTGATAAAGAGTTTGTGTGTGTGCCAGTTACAAACTATCGCTGCCCCCAGAACAGAAAGCAAACATTAATTCCAGACGACTGAACAATTTCCTAGGGGCCATGTGTTTAGAGTTTAGAAGAACAGGAATTTATCATATTAAAGTATTTTATTCTCCCTACAAACAAAGCTCTTTATGTTTTCTTTGTTCCTGCTTCTTCCTTTTGATCTCCATTGTCAGAGTTTTGCACCATTGTAATACTTTGCAATCTGCTGAGGGAGAAAGAATGACTGATTGTCTTCTTTTGAAAGGCGAAGTATGTGCTAGCCTGCAGTCTGCAGCAGCATCCCTACTGGGAAAGGTACTGTCTGCATTCTCCTCCCTTAATTTTTTTTTTTTCCCTTTTTCCCCCTCAACTCTTGAAAAAAACCTATCCTAGACAAGTCACAAAACCCTAGATTTTAACAGGAAACACAAAACATTACTACTATGTGCTGGCCAAATTCCAAAGACAACTTTAGTCTTAAGCAGCAAACTTCAAGCCACATTACATGCAAAAGGAAGAGTGCAGAGGGAAGGGAAAGTTCTGTTTATGATATGCTAAACTTATCTTACTCAGAATGAAAATTTCAAATAATTTTTCTAAGCTCAAAGTTCAGAATAGAACTATGGCAGCATTCAGAAAGCTAGTACTCAAAATAGTCTACACACTTCTACATCATAAAGTTAGTAAATATATTAAAATTAAGATCAAATCCTCTGATCAAAGTGTTTTTGTGAAGATAAAGTGGAAACACCTTACAAAGCCAGACAATTCTTGATTGTGTATCTGCGTCAGGTAATTGTTCAGCCCATCTTAAAATCACTTCAGCTCTTCGTTAGCTGGCTTGCACCTGGAGCTGCCCAGCTGTGTTCACATGGCTCCCAGCACCTGAGTGCAGCAGTGCCTTTGGTGCTCAACCAGAACTTTTGGTCCCAGGACCACCAGGCTTTCTATCTTGCACTGTATCACCACCATATACTTTTATAATCCAATTGATCTATGATGTGGATCTGTGCTTTTGCTCTATTTAGGTTATTTCATTCCTTCCTTAACTTGGATAATTGGGTATTGACTATATGAGATCTGAATGCTGAAGGGGGTTTGGTGCCCTCAATTCTAATTGAAGTCAGAGTCAGTTGAGGTTACTCAACACTTTGCAAGATCTGGATCTAATTATCACATTAGACCCTCTAACAACCTACTGATATCCAGAGATACACGTTTTACATATGGAAAAGCAATATGCATAGAGGTTAAATGATTTGCATAAGGTCATTGAGAGAATAGGTGGCTGAACTCAAATAAAAGCCTGCTAGTTCCACCCTTTCAGCCTGGAGCCTTTTTTATTACCTCCAATTTTACATTCCTGCCAGAAGAAGTCATTTCCATTTCAAATATTAAATGGGAAATCAGAAAATGTAGTGAACTCTGAACCACATCTCCTTGGTAATCCAGCAAGGCAGATAAGCCGTATACCAACCGGTGGGTTCAAACGAGTTAACCAACACATTTAATACAGCTATTGTATGAACTGAGATTGTGTCTGCACACATACCAGTAAATACATCCATATCTAAGCAGTGGAATGTATGGATGCACACTTAGTACCCATGCTATTTGCATATATTTACATACACAATGCACAACATACTGTTTCAAGACACAGACTGATGTCATTTCAATTGGACATCATACACTCAACCTAAATTGTGAAAGTATCAGAGAACAGAGGAATCAGAAATTATTTGATTGAAAATCCACTTTTCATATGGCAGTTCAGTAAAACATGTGTGAAGGACCCCATTCACCTGGATTTTCTTTTGAAAATGAGGTCATAGGAAAGAAAAAAATGGAAGAGGGTATTTTCTACTACAGCAATCCTAGCAGATATTTGTCAGTCCCAACAGCAGACCAAAAGCTTAGAAGCTGTCTCAGCAAAAAAAATTTTTTCCTTTCTCACTTTGTTTTTAACTTTTCTTTTACTTTTCAAATTTTACCTTCTTTCATATTCTTAAAAATGTCAAAATTTTCAATTCTCCACCTATGTAGTATAGGAAAATTACTAAAGGCATCCAAGAAAAAGTTAAATTTTAAAACATCTATAAACACTTAATACTATTTAGAGCTGCTGTGCCATGTGACCATATTTTGGACTAAAGAATATCTACACTACAAATTAGCTGTAGTTCTGAGATCACTCTATAAGAAAAGAGCACTGCTTAGCAGACTTCAGAACTGAAAAAAATAATTCAGAATTTCACACCATTTATAAACTGTGCAACATTGAAAGAAGTTTCTAACACAAATAAACAAGTCCTACTCCTTGAAAAAGCACACTATTTGATATTGCTGATGTATTTCTATTTACTATTTTATGCATAAAATAGTAATGAAGGAAGAAGGGTCCAGTATAAATATGTGAATGAATTCATCCTAATGGATGCATAATGAATTAGTCTACTTGACTGTTTACAAGAAAGCTATTTGGAACACTTACTGTATCATCTTTGAATACTGAATATGTTGAACACCGTATTCAAAATCACAAAATCCCATCAGTTATTTTAAGGTTCATCATCAAATTACTCGAGAATAATTTACCAAAATGAAGTTTTGTACAGTAATTCCTTACCATTCCACTCTCTTCCTCTTGAAATATATTTATAGGCAAGGCCCAGAAATATGCTTTAATATAATTTAATAAAAGTAACATTAAAGAACAACATTTGCATATTAAAGACAATCAACACAGAACTTTGGAGTGTTTGAAGGGAACAGTAATTCCACAGCACATGAATTTCCAGCTGCTTTTTTCAGGACACTGAGTAACCCTGCTCTCCTAAATACTCTTAAAAAGTGTCCGCCTAGTTCAGCAAAACTGCCCAAGCGTATTTTTACTTTTCCAAAACTCAATATGTATATTCATGCTGCATTTTTAATGCAACTTCAGTCTAGCTTCTTCAGCAAAGAGAAGGGGAAAAGCACAATAAAAGGACATTAAATACCCTGTGGAAGAACTTCTTATACAGGAACCAAGACAGTCTAAAAATACTACCTAATGATGCTCTATAAGGACTCTCCCACTCACACTCTGGGTATCCAGACTGCACGTGAGTTAGGTGGAAGGGCTGCATGGTGTCACTTATCCACAGGGGTCCTAAGCTAGGATAATGCCTACAGGCTGCAGGCAATACCAGATGGACCACTTGAATTACGTAAAGGATTCCCAGAATAGAGAAAGCACAAGTATGATCCTGATCTGCACTTCACCCTCCTTACTCTGGGGCAGAAAGTCCTATGCTGAACCTTAGAGACAGAGTATAGAGATTCAAGAATCACACCCTCTGTACACAGATGCCCTCTGCCAATGCTTGTGCTCCCATGTGTTTTAGAATTACTCTTGAAACTTAACTAGGGAGAATGAAATTACAAGAATTATTAAAAAAAATATTTTGCAGAGCAAAAAAATGTGTTCTGAAATTCAGCATAAACAAAATAGTACTCTTTTTTAAAAACAAATACATTTTCTTTTCTAAAAGGCAAGTTCTTTCACCCATTTTCAAATTTCTGATAATATAATTCTGATAAAGGAACAGTTTAGACAGTATTTTCTTTCTTCCTCTTAAGGGCCTGTTCAGACCAACCTGCTGAAACCTACAGCTGTAGTGAGCTCCAGCTCATAAGAGCTCACAGGAGTTCACTTCTGCAACACGAGCAAATATGGTATTTTCCATTTTTAATTGTGCACAAGATAGCTTCTCTCTTCTCTACAATAACAAAACCTGGAGTTTCCTGAAAATCAGTCCCCTTCAACACAATAACAAAGAGTGGCATATCCTTAGTCACCATCTCCCCTTTAAGGAAAAACTCCCTTTACAAGAGAGATCTCAGATCTTAGGAGATTAATGCTCTCATCTCTACAACCTGCCCTCCTCAGAGTTGACAGCATCATCACTACAAAAAGATGATGATGACACACAAAAGAAATGTTAAAAAAAAAAAAAACAACCCAAACCCCACCCTATCATCCTTTACAGACAAACCCTGCAGCAGATCAGCACCACAATAACTGCCACACTTAACTTGAACTTGCTTCACCCAGTTCACTCTGTTCCTTATAACCTAGATGTATAAAACATTTAGCCTACTTAAAAACAACTACACACAAAGCAAATTGAGACAAAGTAGTAAATTTTAAAAGGACTTAAATACATGCTAATGGAAAGATATCTAAAGATGGATGTTTTCATTTGCATACATATGTGCTAGGTATAGAATTTTCCTCCTCCACAAGATGCTTCTAACACTGCACATGCAGTTTCTAGGATAATTTTCTTAGTGAGAGAAAACCACCAAAGGTAACGTACTGATTTGTAATGATAGACCAGTTTCTCTCCAGACTATGCATTTTCTACTAGCTACTAAAAGAATTCTTGCACTACTTTTCACATCATGTTGGGCAACAGCACAGTCAAAATCCTTTATTCTCTTTATGCTAGACTCTACTAGCAAGAAAACAACACAAACCAGTAAGACCAAGCTTTGTGCATTCTTTCAGTACTCATAGTAGAAACCTTAGTTGTAATTAGAATGAACAAATTCAAACACTCTTAGAATGAAATCCATCTCCTTTTCTTTCTGAACCAAATACTTAGACTGCTGGTTTGAAAGTAAGAAAAACTACGTATCTAGAAGGTCAAAGGAGGAGCTATCCCATATTTTCTGTGGTTATAAGGTTTCTCATAGATGCCTACCTTTTTGCTGCCGGTGGTACAGTCTCCTTTCTGGTTCCTGATGGAGAAGGTAAAGAGCCACTTGGTTTCTTTGGTAACACAGTTCCATTATTAACTGTAGTCCTTAAAGGCAGGGTTTGTACCAGTGGTCTTGCTGTAAAACAAGCATAAGTTTTATGTATATAAAGTGTATGTATGTATAAGTAAGCTCCTAGATCAAGGAGTTTACTGGTAAGCACAAAAGCAGTTGTTGCCACCAAAAACAATCCTGCTCTCTCCAAACAACAAAAGTCTGGATAGTGTCCAGACAAGTGCTAGAAATGAAGGCAAGCTGTCATCCTAGAAACTCCTGCTCTTCACTCCTCAGTACTCCTGAAGGTTTTCCACAAGCAAATTATGTATTAAGAAATCCCTATTCCCCAGAAAAGGGTGTTCTTTCAAAGAATGTGGGCTTATGTTTGACAGAAAGGAATTGTACCCTTTATTCAGAAAACGCAATTGAAATCAACAGAACAGTGGAGTTAATAAGCCAGCACTTTCTACCTACGTTTTTCTGATCAAATGTTGGCTAAGATATACATGTCATAGCTGTAATTAATATTAAAATAACAGAAAAGTTCCATTCGAGTAAAAGTTAGTTCCAAAACAGTGTTTAAAACTGCAAGCAGTAAGTACAAACATGGAAACTATTGTGGATCATAGCCCCAAAACACAGACACACACATAACTAGTGCTCTCTCTACAGCAGGGAAAAAAAGCTTGAATCATTTGAAATTTGACAGGACTCTGTATTACAAGCCTGCTTTGTAATGATGTCAGAAGCCTTTGCATTCAAACACTACCTTAGGAACATAAGATAAAATTTACCTGAACTTGGAGAGGATGGCACAGAGAATACCTATAAAATGTTCTTTGAAAAAAGAACGCCAAGGATAAGATATCTAAAACGCTAAACTGAAACAGTACCAATTGTATACAGTTCTAGGTTACATTGTATCATCTTACTGTAGCACTGACAGCAAACATTTATTGACTTGTTCACCTGAAGTTTTCATATACTGAACAAAAGATAGTTGTGAAAGCCTGTGCCTCGAGAAGATTAGGTCAATAAACACGATCTACTAGGGAATGCAACTTTCAAGACAAATCGCCTCTAGAAATTTTGTTAGAATACACACTTACTCATTATGTATTCATTATTTATTTGTTCAGAGGAGAGAAATTCAGAAAACAACCTATATGGAAATACCAAAGGAATGAGGCTTATTTGGCTTAGAAGAGTGAAGGATTACAGGAAAACAAATCAACAGACATAAAAAAAGAATAAAATTTCCTCCACATTCACTGAGGATGCCTTCCAGCCCTGACTTTCATGATCTGTTTTAACAGATTAATTCTGTCTAAAATTTACTTGGCTTCTCATGGCTCTATTTATTTTTTTTTATGGAGGGATTCAGATATGATAATTCCATTTACTTCTACATTATTCATTTTTTCAAGTTCAATACTTTTTACAGTCTTGTGCTGGATGCTCTGCTGCTTATCTCCTGACTAATTGCTGCACTGCAGTAATTAATCTCTATGTATAAAACTGAATCTGCTGCATGCTACAGAATCACAGGTAGCTACAGTTAAGCAGTTGTGGACTTGTTTCCTGGTAAACTTTCTGTAGCTCAAAAAACTTTAATGAGGCTTTGAGATGACAAACTAGAACAGCAATTAACGTTACATAAATAAATGATTAAAATATTTTCCTTCTTTATAGTTATATATATAAAAAAAAAAGGTCTATCAAAAACCAGCTAGAGTATGCCTGCTCTCTTAACCTTATGAAATCAAAACTAGCAGCAGCCAGGAATAAACCTACAACCTTTAACAGAGAGTTTGCTTCAAATCCAGCACTGACCCACAATCCACACTCCTGGAACTAGAGGTCATCTATTGTACAAAGCAACATCCATGAAACTCTTATATAGCACTCAGAAAAACTATGCATTATTCAATTAATCCTCTGTGTACTCTGGGGCTATTTAGTTTTATTTACGACACCTAGTTCACACCAGTGGTAACTGGTATCCAAGTCACACAGCCCCAAACATGCCATTGCTGTTAGAAGTCAGTAACTCAAACACATTGTTGTGATTGGTTTGTCAGTAGTGCTTATTTTGAAGTTCTGGTGCTTCAAGATCTTACCTGGGGTAGCAGGACTGACAAGTTTATCAGCCTCAGCAGCAGCTTTTTTAATCATACTCTGATCTACGGATTAATAGGGCTGTTAAGTTTACAAACAAACCAATAATTGCAAAAGGAAAGAACAACAAACACAAAGGTAAAACAAAGGCAGGAAGCCATACTGAACTCCACCAAGTAGTTGAATTAAATAAGGAAGGGGAAAAAAAAAAAAACAAACCCTAAACAAAAGCTCAAAACACCATTAGTGAAGGAACTCCACAAATGGACAAGGTAAGCCACTCCCTTTCCATGATGTACACTGCTTTTAAGCTGCTTAGCTCAAATCTAGAACAAAAATACCCACCAAGACTGACAAGAAGCTCAACATTTTTCTATTATAGATTTCAAAGTCTGAAAGTTGAAATCTTTAAATCAAGTTTAAATCTAAAGTACTCAGAAAAACAAAGTAATTTGTGCCATGAAGCTTCTTGTTCCAGACTTTAAACAATACAATGGGGATCTTGTTTTTCCAAAGGCACAGATATTCCCAAACACACACACACTTTTAATCCTGAGCTACTTCATCTATGGATCAAATGAAAAGAGCAGCTGACAGTACAGTTCCAACCCCAGTTTGCATGGACAAGAATTCTGTGACAATTCGAGATCTTATTCCACTTTTTAAAATTCAAAACACGGAATTAGTCATTAAATGATAAAAGTAAAGTAAACAGCTCCAGTCCATGCAGCCCAAGTGGTAAAGCATGAGAAGCCACCACCCTAGCTCTTGCTTTGCCTAAGCAAACCCCTCTCCTAAAAGTCTCCATCAGGAGTCTCTGTAATGCTATTCCAAACTAAAATACTTATGCTAAGTAATTGCATATAATTTTTTATAAAGTAGTTGTGCCTACTATAGGAAAGATAGGCCATCATGTAAAATCCGTCATATTTGACAAAACAGCTGGGAGAAAGAAGTGATCAGAATACTTCAGATTCTCTCTCATGTTTATAATTCATGTTTAATAAGGTTGACTACACTGATAGAACTGATGTACAGAAAAATTAAAGCTCTTTACATAAACTGTCACAATAGTAATTATTTCCAGAAATTAAGGGGGGGTTTAGTTGGCAAGTACCAGGACTCATTTTGGTAATTTGCAATGGAAGAGCAATTAACATTTGTAGTCCTCCATTCTCACCATTACAGCAAAACTTCTTATACTGTAATTACACACACATGGTAAGAAGCAGTAATGTCATATATATGATTAAAAAAAAAAAAAATCCCACAAACAAACAAAAGACCCACAAAACCAGCCATAGAAGGCAGAGGGAAAGGCTTATAAGCAGCTTTTCTTCAATGTATGTTGAACTATGGCTCTAACGATCTGCCATGACCAAGAAAGCTTCTCCTGATTTAGAGTTCATCTCTGCTCACAGAATCCATGAAAATCTGGTCTGTATTTGGCTAAGTAAAGCCAGCAGGCAAGAAGAACAGATTTGGTTACAACTCGGTAATAATTACTAGACTTTATTTCCTCCACATATCAGATAATATCTATTTTACAGGCAGATGAACCCTCTTAATCCCTTGTACAACCAGATTTGATGAAACATTTTATCACAGTGGAGGCTATGTTTAGTAACACTTAACTTATCTGATATTTAATTTTTTTCAATAAAAGACAAAATGAGGAGATTACAACAGAAAGGGAAGAGAACACAAAAACAAGATAACAGATATTTACTGCATACTCTGTCTGACAACTAGCATGACATAAAACCAACTAATAATTTGGCTCTGTAATTATGTCCCTTTCACCTTTCCTCATCTCCTGACACAAAAGTTTGTGACAAACATGACATCTCAGTTCAGTAAATTAATTAAGTGGTTCCCCACCTAGTCTGTTAAATCAATGCCAAAACTGAATTTGAAAGATGACTGTTGCGAAGTCACAAATACATAACTGAGATGAAAGGAAGTCCTAACTTCCAGCTGAGAAAAGTACTAATCCATAATTACATAACATACTTCTGATGCAAATTAAGGTTTTGTCTTATATTAATAAATATCAGGACCCCAAAAGAAACAATTTCTTAACTTAGACAAGAGAGAGCCTGTGAAGCCAGTCTTACTTACTTTCTACTATTCTTCATCCTAAGACCTCTCAAAAATACCTTGTGCATTTCTGCTAAGCTCAACATAGGCAGTCTCCCAGGCCTTTGTGGCCTCACAGACTACGGTACATCACACTGGTTGGGTTTTACCCAGCCTTTATAACTGCAAAGTGCTGGATGTTCAAGTCCAGCTTTTCTGATCCGTGCACTGACAAACCTGCTCCTGCAGAGCAGGAACCATGAGAGAGCGCAGTGTGTTACATGTGACACAGCACAACATTCTGTCACACCTGGCATCTTGCTGGCTCTGGATCTGCTGCTCTGGAACATGGTCAGGCACCAACCACAGCTCTACCTTTCCTCCATAGCTGAGCACTTAGTGTTGCACCATCTCCTCAGTCACATCACCTCTGTGCTGGCTTAGAGCTGCCTTATGTCCACACCATTAAAAGAAACTTAAGACATTTTCAATTTAATTTTAATCCTATTTTACTTAAGTTTAATTAATTTTTTGGATTAAAAAAACCCCAACCTATTAGGAGTTTCAATCACAGAAAACAATGCACTCCCTAAAGAGTTTATAAACTAATCTTGATCAAAAGTAAAGAAGTGGTAGCAATGGTTAAATGTAGATTGTGGATTAAGCACTAAGAACATGCAAATGCTTTGCTGGTTCATGTAAACTGTAGAAGATCACAGATTTAACCATTTGGATTTTTATGTGTTCTCTTTAATAGGTCATATTTCAAATATGTTTTATTTAGAGTCTGGTTTGTTGATTTTGAGTATTTCAAGATGTAAAGAATAACCTATTTTAATACACACTAAACACTCATTGAATTGCACTACCTATTTTACATCTATTTGAAATGCAAACCTTTGGTAGGTCCTTTCTTGTTCTGCATGGCCTGCTGTTCCTCTGTAATATTCAAGCGTCGGACCACATCAGCAAGGGCAGATTTGAGCAGCTGGATGTCATCTTCCTGCATCTGGACACGCTGCTCCAGAGAGGCAATGCGATCTGTTACCTCCATACTGCTTGCAGCAGAGGCACTGTCATCTGAGCAAAACAGCAGAAAAAAAATGCATTGTCAATAATGTACAGCCATCAGGGAGTACCTTCCATAACTGGCTGCAGGTAAAAAGAAGGCTTTTCTCAGACCTAATGACCTCTTGAGGAAGAAAGTTTTCAAGTGACCAAAAGGAAGAGATGGAATAAAAATAAATAACCAAATAAAAAAGATGAGCACTTAAGTCAGATGTGATGACAAGATTGGCTTCAGGGTCACTTGTTAATTGGGCCCCACTGCCAATTATCTACATGTCTGAACTGCAGTGATCAATCATCGTCCTTCACTGTTCTGCTCAACACAACATTCTGACACTGCCAGGTATTCAGGTAGAGAACTACATTTTCTGATATGCTACATACCCTCCCAGATTTTTCCTTCTCATATATGTGATAGAGATACATTATACATATGTAAGCTTACCCTTTTTCAAGTCATCATCCACAGACTGGAGAATGGATACTAACCCCATCTGCTGACTCCTAGATTATACCACCAGGTTTGAGAACATTCCCTCTGACTGAAATAAAAACCTAAATAAATTCAGAATTACTCAGTAATTGTACTCTAAGCCTGCAAATTCTTAAAAGGGTAATTACTTTGCATACAATGAATGCACCCATTATTTGGAAATAACCCATAGAAGCTTCAAGCCTGCAACTCCCTGATGAGGACTGCATGTTCTTTCCACTCAAAACTAGTAATAAGAATATTTTTCCTAAATGAGCACATTTGTTCCACTGCAGTTTCTATCACATAGAAACACTGTAATTTCTTACAATATTAAGTTAGGAAAAATAAGAAGAAAGGAAGACAAAAGGAACACCAAAGATGTCTAACTCAGTACCAATTAGAGGAAAAAAAAGTGCAGCTTTTAAAGAGAACTGCAAACTTTTATTTAACTAGGTGGCTTTGAAACCTAAAAACAAGTTGGGTACTAACTTCCTGGATCACCTTCAGTAATGTCTGTCACGGATTACAGTTTTCAACTGATGACTTGATAAATTATACTCTAGAAAAAATGGATATTTATGCTACTATCTGCAATCATAATTGACCTCTCCCTCATTCCTAATGCAAGTCTGCAGCATGGATTTCTTCTGTTAAAGCTGAGCTCTCTTTGTGAAGAAGCTGGTACTTGTTTTCATTTCTTATGTCCTTATTTGTCCTCCATTGCAAACCAGAGTTTTCCACTTATTTTGTAAAAAGGCATAAAACTAAACGGTTTGTGTATAATAACTCCTGATCAATTCTAAAACAAAGTAAGTGTTTCAAAGGGAAAACAACGGTGTCTGAGTACATTTAAAAGCATATCCAACATACTTTAAATCATAAGGCTCTAGGGAAACATTGCATTAATTTTTTTTTTTTTAACAATCTACTAATCTCCAAACCACCCCAATACAGATTGTTTTTGACATCTGTTAATCAGCTGAGTTTTGGCTTCCTTACCCTTCACACCCCCAACAGCTATTTGTGGTTTCCAAAAGCTGAATTAAAAACAACTCAGAAACAATATAATGATATTGACAGTCCATAAATAGCCACAGGCTAACACAGTTTAAATTTTGATTGTTAATTCTGTTATAGGATCTTCAGGACTTATTTAAAATGTCAGCACTAGGATATTATTAGGTTGAACATAATGGCAAGGTAAGTATCTGGTTCTGAATTAACTAAATCAGAACTCAAGTTACTGAAAAATGTTGAAAAACTTTCTCCATGACAAAGCTTTCCAAACTTTGCCCTAATCAGACTTTTGCTCAGCACAGGACTCTGTCCTGCAGCTGTTACAGGTAATTAGTCCCCAAACTCAGATTAGCAGCAGTGCTGGCAGCAGTAAGAGCTGCCTGCAGAACTTAACCTTTCCTCATACAAACAAAAGCCCCACGCTGCTCTAATGACTTTACACTTTAACTCAGCTGGAAATAACACGGATTAGCATACTGGACAATAGGCAACCAAATCAAAAACTTGATTTAACCAATACAAGCCAAATTCAAACTTCAGCCATTCTGCCTAATTCAATACGATCAGGCATAGTTTTCCTCTGAATTCAGCCAACAAGAAAGAGCCAAATCTGTAAATCAGGGCAGAGAAGGAAATCCAGGGGAAAATCAGTCAGTGTTAAAACGATTCTAGCCCTTGTTACAAAAGAAAACATCCTCACTAAAGTATCAATTTCAGTAATTTTTAAGTGTGTAGAAACAGTAATTTTGTACAGACATAAATCTTCAAGCGTTAAATCAGTGGCACTGGTTTATTTACAGCCCTCTAAGAAATCACTCCCACTAATAACTATTAAGATGTCCAGCTCTCTCCCCTCTTCCCCCTTCTCCCAGCTGCCACTGTGACTCTTCCCCTCGCACCCTCGCTGACCAATAGGCACCAGCAAACCCTCTTCTGCTCTCAGCATGTCTCTGCCTTCCACTACCATCACTCTTCCAGGTGCTTTGTAACATAACCCTCATCCTTTTCTGTAACCTACAGCTTGTTTGGTTTTTATGGGGGTTATCCAACTGGATGCAGGTCCCTACCAATGATGCAGAAAAGAATAAAATTTGTAATAACTTTCAGGAAGATTGCAACTGAAGACAAGATTTCTTCCAGTCCAATAATACTTCACTTTGCCTCCTCTTTGCATGCATATACAAGTAAGCTAGAAAAGAGACAGAGAATACAATAAAACTGTGTTTTCTGAAGAATGCAAAGTTCAATTATAAAATAAGCATAACCTGTTTGTTATGCAAGTGGAGGATGGAATGTTCTTGCCATTGAGATCATTGTATCCCAGTATGTTGAGCAATAAAGTTGCAACTTCAACACAGCCAAATAAGCCAAGTGGTATGGTATCAGAAGAGAAAAAAATAATTAATGCTACAAACTAACAAAACAAGAATGTCACAACAGACGTCACCCATTCTGCCCACACAAGCAAGAACAGTATTGTTAGCCTAATCTGCAGTGTACCACTCATCCTCACTGCAAAGGACACTTGCAAGGAATATTTCAGCACACATTTGTAATGCAATTTGGAAAGGCAAATGAAGGAGATTACAAATCCAAACAAGTTGTCTTTAAGTGTTAGATCTGCTTATCAGTCACTGCCACCCCTTGTCCATGGACAGGCAGAAAAGCCATTGTATCACCTACATGGGTAGCATCAACAGAATTTATCATTACCTCTTTTTATCAGTGGGAAGAAAAAGGACTTTACAGCAAAGCTTATGCAACATGTTTTAAGAAATCTGCAGTGAGTCACTTTGTACAAGCATTCATTTCTTTTCATGGATTTTAAAGCAAGTCTAAATCATAAGTATCAAACATGCAAATTATGGAATGGTTTGTGTTGGAAGGGACCTTAGAGATCCCAGCCCCACTGCCGCAGACAGCGAGTAAATCTACACCTTGTGAGATAAATGCCACCTACAACGTCCAAAATTAGATAAAACGAGGAGGTATCAATTCAGATGCCTGAATTTTCATGGTAATACATATTTGTGGTAAAACTTGGAAGGAAGAGTCATTTGTCAGTTTTGCTTTGCTGAGATTCTGCAGGTTTCAAAGGGAATGCAGCAAAAAAAGGGAATGTACTACATGCCCCTCTTTAAATTTTCCAACCAGCTAATCCATGATCTCATAGATTGGAAAGATTTCTCGTGGCAAACTAAAAGACAATACTGAGTCAGATGATTAATCTGCTTCCAGAGTGTACTCCAGTTTTTCAGCAATTTATTACTTGAGCTTAGCCAAATGTGAAGAAACAGCTGAAGCAAAGCCAACAACAGGACATGTATGCTGTTTACAAGAATGATTTCAATACTATTTCATTGTATGTAGGCTAAAGAAAAATTATGTACTTACACTATTAGTTAGAAGGAAGCCTATTAAAATGCATACTATTTTATATATTTTTTACCTTCTGAAAAACCTAAATATGGACTGTACCTTAATGGTGTAGGAAATAATTAAATAGACTTGCCATTTCCCTCAGCTCCAACCCTCCCCCCCCCCAAAAGAAGTACTTCATTAAACATATTCCACCTTTGAATTATGCAGACATTAATTCTGAGGCTTTGTTCAGCTCAGACCATGGCAGTGGACTGTGCAGTGGAAACGTTAGGTACCAATTCTCAAAGGACTATCAAACAAACTTGAGTTTATTCAATCTACATGGCCTCTTTGGAGCACCAATTAACAGGATAAAATTATAACCCAGTCCTTCCAAACTTGTTTGCAACTGCGGTTGCTAGACACTTTTATAATACATTTTAAAAGCAGCATCTCAAAGTATTTGCAGAGTTGTCCTTGTATTTAGACACTCTGCAGGATATCAGGAAAGAAAACGGAAGCCTTCTGAGGATAGCAAATTCCAGCAGTGGTCTTTGGCAAAAGATGATGGAAAACATGGCAGTGAAAAGGCAGCATCACCCACACATAGAGAAGCTCTTCTTCTAGTATAAAGATATAGATTGTGCCAGCAAGCCTGACTTGAGCTCAACCAGTAGGAATACTTTCTGTCACTGAGAGATATCAGTAAGTATGTCACGTTCTGCACTTCTCCTGAAATGGGTCAGTACAAGTATTTACATTCCTTGGAAATTGCTATGAAACTTCAGGGCCACTACTAGAGCCTTATGAAAGATACACATGGACAGAAAGGAATTCTCTACCCCCAGCACACAGCAAACTCTATGGTAGAACACAGTAGCTGTTAAGAAAGCCATGTTAAAATGGCTTTAAAACTAAGTAAACAAAACCGTACAATCTTGCAGATGAATTAATACAGGGAGACCTATAGACTGAATTTGACCCAATATACTAGCAAGCAATTCAGAACATCAAAGATGCTACACTTCCAGAAACATTTTTCTACCCATAAAGACCATGGTTTTCTGAGTCCACTAACTGCAAAACTGTCAGATGTGGCACAGGTTGCTCAGCACACATTTGGCAGCTCCCCCTTCTTCTTCCCTCATCATCCCTGAGA